TTTGTTAAAAAAAAATTTAGTTCAGATCAATATTTCACCGAAAAGTTTTTGTCACCTAATATTTTTACTTTGCAGACAGAAAATCTTTTTTAGTTTTACTCAAATATGAATGTCACAATTTCGTATTCTCGAAGAAAAATTAATTTGAAACGATACAAATTATAAGTGTAATTTGTAATATACTAAGATAAAAGAAGAAATCCAAATAAATTAGTGTTTTTTTTTTTTTGCTCATTTGAAACCATGCATGAATTAAAAAAAATTAGTACCACTCTAAATAATGTCCTTTAACAACTAAGAATTTTTGGCTTCCGATATTTGTGCACAACGCGTAAGAGGCTATGCGTTCCATAAATAAGCACTGGTATGACACCTGTACACTATATGCTATCGATGTACTTACTCATATTTATTATACAAAAATTGTTTATAGCCCTGGTAATTATTTTTCGGGAGACAGCGCAGTATCTACCGCAGCTACCGTCGTATCTAATATCTAGTTATATTTTTATGTTATTAGCAGGAGCCAGGATGTGTGTGGTAGATCGGATGAACTTCAAGATTTACCGCACTCGAGTTTTAATTAAAATATCGGCCGCCACGTTATAATACAATATAATAATAATACACGGATACACCGTGGCGTTAGGGTGTTTTTGTTGCTAGCGACGGTTTTTCCTATTATAAATTTCCCATAGTCGTCCGAGGCTTTCACACGGATATAACAATTTATATATATATATATATATATATATTATATTATATTATGTAGGCCTGATACTTAATGTATTGTGTATGCATTATACATGCACAGTGTTGAAGTGCGCCGCCGCGGACAGTAACAATTAATATAATATGCAACAATACAATAACAAGCGCAACACAAAACAACCGAAATTATAGAAAATAATTAATCTCCGAGGGCCCATTAATCACGGAAGCTTTGGTCGACAATATCCTCATTACGGTTCTGTGGACTTGTTAGTCTCTAAAAGTGAAAATAAAAATAAAAACACCTCTTTCCAGTGATTTCAAAAGGGCCGCCCGGAGGTTACACGGGCAAACAATGGGTCCGCACATAATAATGCGGATAAACTCGTCGTGACGGCCGTGTACTATATTATTATTGTCATTGGTTATTATGGCCAATGTTTGGGATATAATAATTAATATAATCTGATACAATATAGTCGGTAATACGTATATTATAGACGCGATGCCCTCCTCCTAGTTCGTCCGTCATAGATTGTTGTTATCAGTGAAAATCGCGACAGTCGACTACCCACGTTTTACAGTGTACTAAACCACAGAGTAGATTAAATCAGAGAGGACACTTAATGTAAACAATTATGTTCGAATGGGGGCCGCCATCTTCTCATGTATACTAATATTATGTCCATGGCTTAAATATACTAGGTTATTGTATACGCCCCACTTTATTGTATTATCAATTCACAAAATGACAGCGTGAGGGTAGAGATGCAATAACCTAGTATACTTAAGCTATAAAATAAATAAATTCCATCGAAAAATATGATCCATTTCCATTTCTGATTGATAAATGAGAAGATAGCCACCACTATTTTTAATGATGATGATATCCACCATGTTAAATATGGAATGTCCACCTGACTAAACCATACAGGGTGCTACAGTCAGAGGTGAAACAGGGGGTGGTAAAGGTTGGTCCCTCTCCATTTATAGGTAAAATGTCTCAGTTGAAAATTTAAAAAAAAATTGTCAAATCGATGAATAAGCCACCATCGAGTTAAAAAAATGTTCAGCTTAAAGACATCTGCACATAAAAAAGGGATCAAACAGATCGGTTTATATAGACTTTTGAGTAGGTTTTTTTAGATTACATAATATATTATCTAACTTGATGGTGCCGACTGTACGTTTTAATTAAAAAATAATAATCACAAATAAGTGACTACTATAAAATGCCACCGTTTCTTAGCAAGTATTATCATATTGTCATATTTTTTTTATTATTATTAACATTAAACCATAAGTCAATAGCAAAAATACGGTTTAAGGGAAAATGAGCCAGCAACAGCTATTTACTGATACATTGATAGACGGTAACAGTATTATGTTTAGTTTAATACAACCTTATGTTTAAAGAATTAAATAAATGCTTGGTTCAATAGTGTCTTTCTATTTTGGCGATGTTAGTCATGGTACTAAGAAAAATGTTTTAAGACATAATATTTACTAAATGGCAAATTCACAAAAAAAACCTCTCGACTTAGATGATAAACACAAAAAAAAAATCCATTTCAACTTTTAAAACATTTTTCAAATAATTGAATTTTTAAAGTTCTATTTTCGGAGATTGGATTTGAATTGTAAAAATCCTATTTTGACGGATTTTCCTCGACTTTAACAGCAAACATTTAAGTTAAAAATTGTACACTCGTCAAATATTTCTTTAAACTGACAACTGTCCAATTTTTATATTATTTCAGTTAGTTTTACGCTTACTTACCTTTCAGAAATGTCTATTTTCTATACGCCTCGCAGTGTATTATATTATGTATAAAAGTATGTAACAAAATGAAACCGCGAGTGTATTTTTAAAATATTAAAAATACATGAACTCGTGTAATAATAATGCGATTAACTCGACATTTTAACATTATTATTTCATAGTAGAACAATTTTTGAGTTAAATAAAAAAAAATGGAGTATGGTAATGGCGTGTATCAAATCCATTGTTCTCAAGCGACAAACTGCACATTTTAAGAAAATTATAACACATCCAAGACGTTCATTTTCTGGGGAAATAATTAAAATGTTATAGTTTTTCCTTTTGAAAAAATTGTTGTTTATATTATTGTACAATATTAAAAACCTACCCAATATTAACGTTATTTAGTATTTTCCAGAGAGCTATTAATTTTTGAAACTTAAATGGGAATATTAGATATATATACAGGTAAGTGTGTTCTAGTGTATTCTTACCCCTGACTAGGGCCGTTTTAGTGTGTTGCAGCGTAAATATGATTATGGCAAAAGGGTTAGCTAACTTTTAAAATTAGCCGACAATTTTGACTGGTCGATAACCAGTTTTGGATAATTACTTTTTAAGTTTAATATTAGTTTAAAATTTAAGACTGGAGGTGATAACGTAATGCGGTCGAATAACGCCAGCAGATAAAAATAATATTAAACTCCACCCTTCCTCCTATACTTTTATACTTTAATAGCTTGAAAAGTAATTATCCATAACTGGTTATCGACCAGTCTAAATTGTCAGAAAATTATTCTACTCTCAAAGAGTTAATTAAATTTATACGTTCCCATATAGCTGGTTGTCTACAACGTAACTCATTTCAAATATAATTTTCAAAAGCTGATAGCGCTCAGGAAAATACTAAAAAAGGTAATTATTTAGTAATTTTATAATGTTGTAAAACAACATAAATAAAAATGTTTCCATAAAGAGAAACTATAAAATTGTCATTACTTCCCAAGAAAACGAGTGTCTTACAAATTGATCATACAAATTTTATCATAAAACAAGTACTGCGATTGAAAATTATAATATTTTATATTTTACACAAGTCGATAGAAAATCATGAAGACATTTTTTGAAAAATACAACAACTGTCGAGTCGTTGTTTCCAATATTAAAAATATATGTAGATACTTTTTTATGTATGTATTTTACAGATGATCTTCGCTCTGGTGTTTTTTTTTTATACTGTTTGTGTCGGGGAGGGTGATGGTCAAGAGGGCGGTTTTCCAGTGGGAACCCTTCTGAGCAGTCGGAATACAATCTTTAATTATCACTATATTATCATCACCGACAAGACACGATTATTAAAAGTCACACGCTCGGTTTTACATATTATTATATTTTATTATTATTACATAATGTACAACGTGCGGTCGTCTACACGCCGAACATACATTATTATTATAATATAGATGACGTACGAATAATACCGTACAAATATTTACACGGAATTGTGTGTCACGGATCGTGTATGCGACGGTATATATATATATATATGTAGCTGGTAAGAAGGTAATATAGCAACAATATGATAATATAATATGTAAATTCGATAGGCGGAATGTTAATTTCGTTTTTTTTTTTTTTTTTTTATTATACATATATAGGTCGATAGTTCGCGAGACCGTCATCGAGTGTTCTTAAAAGGCAAAAAATAATAATAATAATAATAATTACATAAAGCTTTCGGTTTGGCCCTCGTTTTTTTTGTTTTTACCGAACCGCCGCCGTCGATAATACACACACACACAATTATTATAATATCTAACAACCGTTGTTGTAATAATTTACACCATGATGCCAATCAATTGTTTTACACACACACACACACAAATAAAACAAAACCTATATAACGTTATAGGTCAATATTGGTTTAGTTTTGCACAATTCGATCGAGAGAAAAAAACCGACATTCTAAAACGTTTTTTTTTTTTTTTTTTTATTGAAAATCGACATGGTCCAACTGTAGTTGTAACTTTTCACAAATGATAATCATACGTTTCGCATATTTTAATTTACAATATATCATTTCCGACGTTTAGGTTTCACATGTCGGATAGACGTATTTAATCGTAATAGGTATGAAAAATAATTTCCGAATTAAAACGACCGATTTATAAACTGTAACGCTATCTAGTGGTCAAACCGTCAGTCGAAAATTATCCATAATTCAGCTCTAATAAAAATTATTATTATTATTACCTATTAAAAGCAACAAGCAAAGGTAAACTGTGGTCAATGTTTTACATAAATTCACCGAGGAGACATTTTAAATCAAGCCATCTATTTTGAGGGTATCAAGTTTGTCCAGTTACATAACTTTGTTATTTAAAAAGAATTTGTTAAATTTACTGAAAAATATATAAAAGAACTTGAATTTTGCTTTTATTTCTTTTTTCTAATTTGATTATGCACTGTAGTCTTTGTTCGTATAAAATATTTGCTCTTTCCCTTCGACCAAAGCTGTTGTACTCACCATTTCTTTTCAATTCTGGATTCATATATCTTGCATCAAAATTATTTGCCCCTGGAAAATAATCAAGCCAGTCGTTACAAATTAAAAATATTTTTGTAAAGCATAGCCAAATGTTAACGTCTAACATGATACGACTATTTCTAGTTACAGTCATTAAACATTTTTTATGTACATATTTTAAGTATGAATTAATGTACAACTATTTGTTATAATAAATTAACATATGTATATGACTAATTTGTAAAAATGAATAAAATAAAATCATCCGAAATATATATATATATATATATAACAGAGGAATATATATATTTTTATTATCAGTTGGTTTATAACAAAATTGGCAAATAATTATAGTGATAAACATTTTTTTAACGACAATAAATCTGTCTCTTTTTTTGGGTACAATTGCAGTTTCCTTTTATAATATTATATGGTTTTACTATATAGAAATTATATATTTAAACGAACAATTTTCTTTGAAGTAACAAAGTGACTAAATTATAAGTATTATTACCACATAATTTTTTACTGAAAAATAAAGTGTCCAAATTTTAATATGTGACATAAGTCAATAAAACAGTATATTAATGGTATTACTTAATACCAAACCCAATTTTGATCGGCTATTTAAATTTTTACTTTTGAAATTATGAATCATTTTTATTAATGGTTTTCAAACACTGCTGATTTATTAGATTATTATTTAAATAAAACTTTTTTTTTAAATAACGATAAATTACTATACCATAAACCTTTTTTGAACTAATTGTAAATAATTTCAACCTAATTGAAATTAAGATATACATTTTTAGTTTACTATTTATTAAAATTTAGCCGTAAAGTCTAGTCAATTTTTAGTACTTAATATGATTGTGCTGATGCTATTTGATCAAAGTTAATTGAAATTGTGCTAATATTCTAATCGGTTTTGTGATAAAAACAATGACAGCTACTACTAGGCAACGCTTTTAGGTATGTAATTTAGGTTTTAACCGCGCTGCACTGCCAACTGTGTCAACAGATAATTTACAGCACTCGATGTGTGTGCATTTTGCACAATTCTCGAGACTTTTCCACAAAGCCCAAGAAGAATAATGAAAAATCAAATCATATCCTCGATACAAAAAGCCAAACACTTTCTCAAAATTTAAAATATATAATAAACATGCAAGTGTTACACAAAGCAAGTGTGTGTAATGATGAAAGCTTGTCAATGAGTTACTTTTAAAATGTTTATCTTCGTTCGGACGCTGTTGGCAACAATATTAACTAATGCCTAGAGTATCGAAAGTATAATTAGCAGTACTACATTGATCAGTGCCAATATCGAACATCACTTAAGATGGAAAAATAATTTGCTCGGCCTGTAAAAACCTATTAAAAATATTTACTAACTAAACACAGGTATCTATCGAGTACCTACTTAAGCGCCTCAATTGAAACGCATAAACAAAACTAATTAAGGCAGCCATTAGATATACAATGAAAGCCGTTAGACAGAAACGCACAGGACTGTAAAAAAAATTCCGTGACACATTGTTGCCCGTATTATTCAGTGAAATATTAACACAGACAAAACGATTTGAAGGGACGATGCATCAATTGAGTCTTATTCAGTTTTCTTGTTTGTCCAGGGTCCGCCTTAGAAGGGTTTCATTGTACTACAATATATTTACACATTATTTTATTATATATGTAGATACTTACATTTTATAGTACTCAACGAAGATGAAATGCTGGCATAGGTGAAAACAGGATACTCCGAACACGTGTGTAAACCAAAATATGAAGTGTAGGTACAATACATTTATAGCGCTTAATCTAACTACTAGTAAGAAAGTTGTATACACTTAAAGTCTAAATAAAATACAGAAAGAGGACAGCCGAGCTGAGAATGGTACCAAGGACGATTACTAACGGTTTCAACATAAGGATACCTAAACGGGGAAGACATACCGTACAAGGAAGACTACCGGATCTAAATTGTGCTACACAATTTGAACACCTAACAACTAAAGGATGTGGATGGAAACGGTTCTCTCTCTCCCGCTTTGTGGAGCGGTGAAACTACGAGCCGTAGCTGGTCGACGAGACATCAGTCGGTTGTATTACCGTCGGAGAGGCTGACGAACAATCATACGGGACAACGGAGTCCGCGCTGCAGCCGGATAGGCTTCGGTGGGACCGCTGGTGTCTCGCTGTCGTCGGACGATTAGAAGAAAAAAAAACGGAAAAAAACGCGAGCGCGACTTCGGACGCGGCGGCGGCGGCGGCGGACGGACGAAAAATTCGACTACTTACCGTTGCGCATTAATTTTTTTTTTTATTATTATTATTATTAACTTCTATTCGGAACGGAACGCAAAAACGTTCGATACGACCATTGACGTAAATCGCGTATATCGTTATCAATATACACTGAACGGGAGAGCAGGTGATTAACGAAACCAAAACAAATGCGTACGGTGTGTGTGTGTGTGTGTGTGCGTGCGTGCGTTTTCGTCCCCTCCCGCGGCGGCCGACACACAGCCGACGGTCGGGGGAAGGGGAACGGCGGCTGCGGCTGCGGTCTAGTCCGTGCGGACGTCGGCGACGCGCTCGAACCGCCACCGCCGCGGCACAGAGTTTAAAAATAAATCGCCTGTGGCCAACGATATTTTGGTCGCCGCCGCCGCCGTTGTTGTTGTTTTCCCCGTTCCGACGCACGACGACCATTTAGCAGAATAATAAAATAGAATATATATATATAGATTACACACTCGCCGGCCGCCCGAACGGAGGAATTTCATATTTTCGTACACCCAGTTAAAATATTATTATTATTATTATTATTATTATTACTATCGTAACGCGCTCCGATTCCCGTGCCGGCGGCCGTGGAATCGTGCCAACGGCCGACGGCCATCGCCGCAGCCGACCGTGTCCGTCTGATGATAGAAAAAGTAAAAGCGGACAATAACTTATTTTCTAGAAAAAAAATAACACAAACCGGCGCGGCGGCACAGCTGCTGTTGTTATTGTGATAACGTCAAAAACGCCGTCGTTACTTGTTTGTGATAACCGCTTTTCGACTTTTCGTAACCGTTTCACATATCACAGTCGGTAGTCGACAATCACTAGTGTGTATATACGTAAATATTTATATTTAAAAAAACTCATAATATACTATTAAATCCTAAGCAAAAATCGAATGGATTTACAATTATTTGTACAATAAAATATGACAACGGCCACAGCTCGATCGGATTGAATGTCGGCCGATCGACAACCGTGCGGCTCTTCAAGTCGGGACACCGACAGACAGTCACAGCCGTGGGACCAGAGTGAGTAGAAACCGTTGCTTTTACAATGTTTGATAATACTGAACAATAACAATTCAGTGCTATAAAGTATTTTGTTTTGTAATAATTTGGTTGTGTGTTCTGGCACTGACAAAAACTGAATACGACACAACATTGTAGGTGTAACGAGTATTATTCGCCATGGCTTTAAAATAAAATGGCTTTTTTTTCGTTTTTGGATTCTTTGCGGTCTTAATGAGTGTTGATAATTATGTTGAGTACACAATACTTTAATTCTGGCATTATTGTATGATACGGTCGTTAGTCGTTCTGTACTTTAGAGGCCGTAATTGTTATCATCAAACTATTCTTCGTCCAACTGTTAAGTAGTCTATTGTGTAAGAAACACAAACAAAACTATTAAAACTCTTTTTTAAATGTTATTAAAATATTAATTACTTTTTATTTAATATGCAGATCCCATTATTTCCTCTAACAATTGTTAAAAAGTGTAATAAACACATTATTTATTCAAATAATTTAAATTTCTATTTTAAACCGCTAATAGTTTTAGGGTTTTGGGATTTTGCCAGTTTCAAGCCCTGATATTTCCTTTTTATAAGTGAATTTATTAGTAAATTGGGTGTTTTATTTTATTTAAAATACTTTCTTTAACCTAACGTAACTTATTTCCTAAAACAAAAATCCATTGTTTTGAAGACTATACGACTAATGTAAAAAAATGTATTACAATATTAAATAACTTATTAATTTAATCTAATATTTGTATATTTTATTATTTTTTCCAGAACTCTCATCTGCAACTGAAAAAAAAAGCATTACCAATCTGTTGTACGATTATCTATTCCTGGAGTTAGGGACGAATAAAAAAGAAGCGTTCAACCATGTGCATTTAGGCCAGTCTATGAGATTTGCTAACCGCAATAGTAAGTTACTGCATAAACACTACTTACATTATAACCTTAACTATGGCATCTATAACGGGTTGTGAACATTTTATTCAACAAAAGAACGACGAGCTGCTCAACAACTATCGCATTGTTCATTGTAATTTTGTGTCTTGTCTATTTGAAAACTCAAAAAAAGCCAAAAAAAAATTAGCCAAATGTCATGATTGCAAATATTTCGGTCCACGACTCCTGTCGTGTCTACACTGTGTGTACTTTGCGTGTAGTCTTCACTTGATCAAACATTATGCCCAAACCGAACATGGTTTCGGCATTAACCTGACCGCTGGCCATTTGTTCTGTGCCGAATGTGAAGATTACATCTACGATAGTGACGTGCTGTCCATAGCCAATTCGTTACGCAAAGACATTTACAGTTTTCAAAGCCGACCGTTGTCTGTGAACCATATCAATTTGCTTAGATCAAACAATAACATTAAGTATGTCAACAACATACCCGTGCCTGGTTTCGTAAATCTAGGAAATACGTGTTTCTTGAACAGCGTGCTACAAGTGCTCATGCACACTCCGATGTTGAGAAATTACGTCCTCTCTGACCAACACGTTTGTCCCAATTTGAAAGACCCCAATCGATGTATCTTGTGTGAAATCAGCAGGATCTATCAACAGGCGTACACGCTGGAGATAAATCTGATCGGCTTGCAAAAACTGTTGAAAATATTTTGGGAAAACACCACTTACATGGCCACCGCACTGCAGCACGACGCTCACGAGTGTTACATTGCCATACTGGACATTATACACAAGCAAACTATCAAACCCAATGAGAACGATAAAGACCTGAGGCACCTGGAAAACTGTCAGTGTATCATACACAAGATGTTTCGCGGAGTGTTGCAGAGCGACATTGTTTGCCAGAGCTGTTGTAACATATCGTCGAAAATCGACATTATCAACGACATATCCATATACTTTGCGTTGGACGACAAGGGCAAGTATCCATTGAGCATCACCCTGATGGAGTGTCTGGAACAGTACGGCCAAGTGGAGTTGTTAAATGATCTGGACTGCACAAACTGCAAGTCCAAACAACTATCGACCAAGCAGCTGACGTTGAAGTATCTGCCCATGGTGCTATGTTTTATTCTGAAACGGTTTGGCCAACCCTCGGACAATGTTTCCAATAAAATCACAACTATTGTGGAGTTTCCCGAAACTTTGAACATGGCTAAGTTTATCGAAAAGAAAACTCTGACGGGCAACAGTTTTATCGACGAGTGTCTGGCCACTTACGAGACAGTGTACAAACTGTACTCTGTCATTTGTCACGAAGGTCAACTCAATGGTGGCCATTATCTTTCATACGTGCGGCATTTGGGCCGTTGGTACCAGTGCAACGACAATGTCGTGCGAATTGTCGAATTAGACGACGTCTTAAGGAGTCCAGCCTATCTGCTATTCTACCATAAGGAGTTCATGAACTTCTACTGATAAACTCAACGGCCGCGCTTGGATCACACGTATACTTGTATTTATCTATTATTTAAAACATTAGGCCATAAATATGTGTTGTTTATGCATGTCGTAATAAAAATATCAACTTTACTTTTCTTGTTTAAAAAATTAAACAATTAGGTACTTTTATTTTTTTTAAGTATGTAGGTTTGTCGTATCAATATTTTATTTTTATACCAATAATTTAACTGTTATTTGTATTCATACATATCACTATTTTTTATATAATAATTTAATATTAAAATAATTAATTATTTAGATTTAAAATTTATAAATGATAATTACAAATTAATTTTAAGAGTTGTTCTTACAGTTTTATTGTGTCAAAAAAGATAACTAATTAAGGTTTGATAATTAAAAAAAAGAACTATTATCGATGTGTTTTTTTTTATTAATTACGAAAATAGTATTCATGTTTCAATGTAAACAAATTATACATTGGGATTATTTTTTTTATATATATATTAAGTTTAGTTTTAGTGTATTTAATATTTATCGATACAATTATTATTCAAACGGATGCTATAGTTTGATTAGAATTTAGCGTAACAAAAAACTTTAAAATAATTAACTAACTTAACAATTATAGGTAAAATTATTAAACCAATAAAAACATAACAAAATAACCATATTATTCATAAACAAAAAGCCATTAAATTAAGTTGCAAAATCATTGTACAATTTACACAGGATTATATTTAGTATTAATAAACAATCATAGATTTTCCCTAATACCGCATACTCTACGACTTAAGAAAATAAATTTGTAGTTATAATACAACTTTTTAAGCACAAAATTAAATGACAAGTTATTATCAACAGTGTACGGTAATTTGTACAGTCAAAAAATCAAATCGTCGATGATTTATTTATGTTTTCTGACTAAATAGTTTTAATCAAAGTTGATTGATTTTTATTTTTAGCTTCGATGAAATTACTTAATACCGTGGCCCACGCAAAAGCGATCAATTTCAATTTTGAAGCCGAGCTGCTGTTGGAATCGTTAAACGATAAAGACGATAGGACGGTAGAGATTGTCGACGACGAACATCAAGATGATAGCAAAGAAGACGACGGTTTGTTGCCGATGACGGCAGTATCATCTCAGTTAGAAGATTCGAATTTCAAATCTCAATATTTTGTATCCAGAAGTTCATTCTATGTAAACAAAAATCATTTTACTAATTATTATATGTTAAATTTTGTACTTTGATGCGAAACGGAGAAAGTATTGTTTTTAACAGTGTTACTTCAACAAACTTGTGTGTGATAATCTTTTAAACACAATAAAAAGACGAAAAAAAGTAACTTCAACCCTTAACCCAGAAAAGATGGAAACGCTTCTTTTTTTTAAATATTTTGATCGTATGTATTTCCTATATAAAAACCCTTGAAAATCGCCTGCTTTTAATCCCCTTAACTGTTTTTAACAATTTTAAAATAACCAAAAGTGTAATTAAGCTAACTAAAATTGTATTTTTATTTTAAAAAATTTTAATATCAAATAAAAAATGATTTAAAATTCTAAATTGTTACTGACAATTGTTTGAAACAATTAAAAAGTGAATTTCAAATAAAAAATGTTCATGTTAAATTTAAATACATATTTTTATTTATAAAATCGAACAAATATAATCTAATTCAAAAACTTGGATGTTATTTGAATACATTACATTTTTGTTTTAAATCAAAATTCTAATCATTTTTTTAATTAAAAAATTATTAAAGACCTAAGTAGTCCTCACTTGTGACCTCTCTGTGCCAGTTGTGTCAGCTTTATATCGTAAAATTATCTCTCATCTCTCTACGTGGTGCATTTTTTTTAGATAATTATTGAGCATTTGATGAAAGAGTTTGGCGGTGCGGCCTATAAAAGAACACAATGGGATGTAGAAAAACAGTTGATGGTAGCGCTCACGTACCTGGGAACCGTCCAAAGCTACAAGTAATAAACCTTCGGCGTCGTACGACAAAAACACCTCACTCGTATAACAATTGTATTATATACTTTTTTTTTTCTAGAGAAATATCGACAAAATTTAACATTGCAGTCAGTACCGCGCATAAGTGTGTCAACGACATCACAAACAGCTTGTTCAAACACATGAATGAGTTGATATATTGGCCGGTAGATCAACAAGCCGATTCAGAAATACTAGCATTCGACCAATTGCCAGGCAATAAATTCCCGGGCATACTTGGTGTGATCGGAACGGTGGATTTGAGAAAAACCTGTACGTCCAATCCATCCAAACACACCAAAGACAGAACGTCCATCGCAATCCAAGTACGTTCGTTTAATTATAAAAACCGAGGTCCGAGTACTGATCAAGAAGAGACTGTTTGATTTTTTTTTTTTTTTTGTTCAAGTGCGTGTGCAACACAAAGTATCAGTTTTATAACGTCTTCACCAGTTATCTATTTAAGTCTAAAGTGACCACGTCGACGTTCCTGGAGAGTCCGCTGGCTGAATCGATTTTGAACGAACCCGACACATTGTTTCCGAACGGCGATACACACATTGTTGGCGCTTCGTGTTACCCTCTTCTGCCCAACTTGATGAAGCCGTTTTTCAATAAATCACCCGACGACCCGCTGGAAAGTAACTACAACGACTCTATCGAAGGGCCATTAAAGATCATCCAATTGGCATTTGGCAAACTGCTAGGACGGTTCAAGCGACTGTTGTGAGTTTGCATGTTAGATTATCGCTGGCACTCCATTCAAATGCTAAAAGTAAACTTAGGCCCTCAAACTAACCTGCGGAGAACTCCAAAATAACGTCTTTATTTAAATAATAGTTACAAGTTAAATTTGTTAAATCAAAACTGGATATAATTTATAAATCATTTTTTATACGTCTTAAATAATAATTAAAAATAAAAATTTAATTTAATAAAAACCCAAAAGATAATTTAAAATCAATTTTTTATTTAAACTAATAACCAAATAGTAATTTTAAATAAATATTCATTTGGGCGAATTTGAATAGTAAATAAAATTGGTAATAACAATTTAAAAAATTGTTTAAATAACACTGCTTAAAATATAATAAAATCAAATATTTTTTTATTTAAATATTTAAAATAAAATGGGTTATTTAAAATAGCCAAATCAAAATATATATTTAAGAAAAAATATTTGTAACAGTGGTGTTTAACCATAGTAGCTACCATCGTTTCCGAGCACATTTTATTTTAGAGCTATTTTGTCCGTTTTAATATATACGACGTTAACATGTAATATAGGGTGCAAAAAAATATCTTGTCCTTGGGCGCTTTAGTCTCTAATTTATGCCATGGATTTTAAGTTGTAGGTATTAAATTATTTAAAATATCTTATTATTTAAAATGGTAGTTAAAAATGTATTCATAACGAACAATTTGTTGTTTAAAAAAAAATATACCGCATAAGTTGTAATTTTTTTTTAACAAAATACATTACTACTTTTTGCAGAAGTTTTCAATAATAGAATATCATTTGTTGGTTAGCATTAACATATTTTTAAGAGTATTGTTTTTTGTGCATTTCGATCTGTGCCTTACTTGTATTCAAGTTTGAAATGTCATATTTAATGTAACATAATTTATGTAACGTGATTATTTCAGGTGTTTGGATTTATGGGGCCAAGAGAAATTTGCCATACTAATATTTGCAGCTTGTTGTCTGCACAACATTTGCTTGGGTAACGATGACGACATCGAAAGTGAACCGTACGAGTGTTGTTCATTCAATTGCGATTATTACGACGAGATCAGTATTAAAAAAAGACAAGACATTTGCAAACGCTTAAGTTAAACTTGCGTTTTTTATGTATAATTAACAAAATGTATCATAATAGTATGAAAAAAACAATTATATGTTACTCAGTCAATTTCTGTGGTAAAATATTTTTAACCATTGCTATATAAAAACAAAAATGTTTCATAAACATTGTTTTGTTTTCAAACGGGCAATCTCGAAACGAGCTGTTGTAGTAATTTTAATTTTTGTGTTTCCAATTCATTTGATTTTTTCAAAGCTTCCAAAGTCTGATATTGAAGATTTTCAAACACTTTTTCTCTGCTCGTCAAGTTGTCCTCCATTTGCTTTAACCTAAACACACAAATTTCTTGAGCGCAAGTTCGACACAATGTATTTACATCACCACTAAACCATTACCTTTGATCAAATTCTGTGTTTCTCCTTTGGAACATCTCTTTGATTTCTGAAATGACATCGACCCTAACGACTGGCTCTTGTTTTGAACTCTGTACGTTATAGTCGTGTTCGTCCAGATCACGGCCGTCTAGTGTATGACTGTTTACACTGCTACCGCATTGTCTGCTATCATCTTTGGTGGCAATTTTCTTAGTGTCTTTGTTTAATTCTAAAAGTACACACGACAAAATAAGTACGACAAATTCACAAACTCATTTAAGGAACGGAAAAAACCAGCGAGTAGGAGTACCTCTTACTATAGAATCGATTATGTCGTAATATATCCAGACGACTTTTTTCTTCTTCTCAACGCGCATTCGGTTTTTATTGTACCGGTTTTTCAACGTACGCCATTTGTTGTCGCAAGCCCTCGGAGTGTAACTGTAACCGTTCTGCATCATTTCGTTGGCTATGTCCCGCCAAATCAAAAGCTTCTCGCCAGTTGCCGCTTTCATGAATTTGTCTTTATGACGGTCGAAGCTTTCGATCAAGCACACCGTCGAATCCATAGTCCACGCAACTAGAATTTGCTATATTATAATTATTTTGTTTGAATAAATTTAAAGTTATAATTTTTACCGCTTTCACTGGGCAAACGCAGCAATCGATCCATGTCTTGATAATACTGCCATTTGATTTTGTGCACTCCAAACTTTTTGTACTTTTCTTTTCTTTTTAAATAGTTGGCTTTCAAAAGGCGCCATTTACGATCGCAAACCGTCCCGGAATAGTTGTGACCGCGTTGTTGTAGCGCTTCGCTGATTTCATTCCACAACAGTTGTTTTTTACCCTGAGCTGCTATCAAGAACCGCGAACGGTACATACCCCACAGTTGAATCAATTGTTTGGTGGCTGCTTCGGTCCAGACTTCTAATAAAAATCAAAAAAATATATCGTCGATTACCAGATAGGTTTAACTTTAACAAGAACGTTTGGATAAGAAACAATTTTTTTAATTTTTTCGTCGACTACCTGAAGATGGTTCGCCCTCAATGTTTTCGATACTGTCGATTTCTGGTGTTTGAAAGTCCACGTCTTCATCTTCAAATCCGTCTTCTTTCTTCAACTCCACGAATTCGTTATCACCGGACATGGAAATCATGATGATATCGTTCATTTTAGATGCTACAACGAAAATTCACACTTAATATTTTCTACTATTAAACAAAAGAATAGGACGTGGCAACCATTATAGGCGGCATAGTCCTATTACAGTAGCCAGTGTACTTTCTTGCGGATCGTCCTTCAACACACTGTCCATGTCCTTGTAATAGTACCATTTCACGTGTTGTGCTCCATATTTTAGTGCCCTGAGTTTATTTTTTTTGTACGACATTTTCAAGTTGCGCCATTTGTCATTGCACGAATTGGCCGCGTACCGATATCCCAATTGGACCAATTGATGCGCAATTTCTTCCCACAATAAATGTTTGTCGCCTTGATTGGCCGACGCAAACTTTGTTTTGTCTTTGCCGTACAACTGTATCAACGCTTTAGTAGACTCTGTCGACCAATAACATTTGTCGCTATCCTTGATGCCTACGACAGAAATTTGTTTAGATTTTTTTATTATTTTATATAATTTAAGATGACAAAAACAACTAGGATGTAAATTGTTTATTAACCGATAGAATTAGACTCCTCAGGAGCAGCAGCAGCAGCACTAATGCAATTATCGTCGACACTACATTCCCCGAGATCGTCATCTTCAACGTCTAATAAATAACGTACGATAAATAAATATGTATATATATTTATTAAATTGTTAAACTAAGCATACTGTGTACCAGAAGGTTCCAGCGGAATGCCTTTGATGGCTCTGTCCATATCGTCGTAATGCTCCCATGTGCATTTGGGAGAGCCTTGTTTAGGAAGGCGTGTTTTATTGTACAAATAAATTTTTTTCAGATAACGCCATTTGTTTTCACATGATTGAGCGTCGTAAAAATATCCTCGTTCCAACATGCGTTCCGAAAGAGCTTGCCACAAGGCTTTCTTCTTGTTTTCCGGACAATTCGAAAACTGCTCTCTTATCTGACACCAGCAATAAATTAAATATCGCACCTCATTGTGCCGCCAATTGCCTAAAAGTGTTTTGAAAAAAGTATTACAAACCCCCAGACAGTATTTTAACAAACTACTTACTATCAGATTGTCCGATGTCTGTGTCATAAACTTCTTGTATTTCACTCTCTTCGTACTCCTCAATATTGTTTACATCTTGTTCGTCGATTGTTACTACAAATTAAAATTTACTTTTAAAATTGTGTATTAAAATCAACGGGGAAGTATAATTAAGATAAATGTTATCTTCATTGATGATAATACATAATATGATTTTTATTACCTGCTTCGTATTCACTCTCTATCTGACCGTCGAGCATGTTTTCCTCGTCAGTTAAGTTTAATTGTTCGTACGTTATATCATCATCGTTGACCATTTTGCCGGAATCATCGACAGCCTGATATTTGTTTCTTTCAATATTACTAATTAAAAATATTATTGATTAAAATTTTTACTGGAAATAGTATCAGTTTATTTTTTAACGTTGATCAAAATGTGTCTGCTTACAAACTAATGTATGCAATAGTTTTGGTTTTTATCGTAAGTAATTGGAAGAACTAAGTAGTAATCCAGAAATTTAAAACAAAAAAAAATCAAAAGAATATGAAATGAAAGAATTCGATAATTTCAACGTTGATCATTTTTTTAATTTCAGGATTATTAATTACTAAGAAAGGTAAAGATTGTTTTTTTGAATATAGTAAACAGAAAAAAAAACTAAGGCAGGATTAAGTTTTAGCGAAAATACTTTTAAAAATATCAAAATAAGTTAAGTCATGACTCATGTTAGGGTTTATAAATTAAAATTTTAGTTTAAGGAATTTTTTTTTTTTTTTACGCAAGTGTTACACACTTTAATAACAATCTTTTAAGTAATATGTTTATTTTATTTCTATATAATTAATAATTCAAAGAAAAAACAATCAGTCTGTTATCGTGGATCCAACACAAAAAAACTAATTTTAAAAATACTTCTTGAATTTAGATTATTTTTGTTTTAGTCTAGTCCCACACCAAAACCTTTGATCCCACACGTTGTAATTATCGTAGGCGCTACTAGACCAACATTTTAGGGGGTTTTTAAATGATGTATACCTGACTAAACATAATCCTATATCTTTGAACCATTAGATATAAAATAAAATTTAAACCATAGATTATATTATATTACAATATATATTTATATTAAATCTATGTGTGAACATAGTATTTACATTATTAAAAGTTTATGCTCACAAATCTTGGGTTTGAATTTTCGGGGATGCTAAAGTCCCCCTAGCACCCCCCTAGATGCGCCTATTATTATTATTATTATTATTCAAACGGCGAGAATAAGATAACGAAACGAAACAATCCGGCACTTACGTTCCGTTCAGATTTCTTTGGCGGATTGTTGCAAAACGGATTCGCCGCAACGTCAGTTGAATATGTCGTCGTTTCCAATGTGATCGCAAAAATAATAATGTATCGAATCGGTCGCCGACTTCGACAAAGAACGGCTATCACTTGCTGTCGTTGTAGCCGTTTTGAGAAAAAACACACATCAAAGGCCCGACTTAATGAAGTCTTGTAAGTTATTTTCAAGTTAGAGTATATGACTTCGCGGTCGGTACAAGACGTGACAACGATACAGAACGCAACAAGACCGTAGTCCGTACTCGACAGGGCGTCGCAACACATCCGCCATGTCGATAATATTCGACCTGCAAAGAGAGGAAACGGTAAACATCACGACGCATCGTTCGTGGAAAAAACGATACCGTACGGTTATCGTTCGCAGTCAGCTGACCTTGGTTAGGTAACCGTGGTCACCGGCAATGCGGTTGTAGTGATAACCATAGACTCAAATTACTGAATAACTAGAAGGGAAACTTTTTAAAAAAATACACGGGTAACGGGTTCTTATGAACCGCCGAAAAAGACCCACTGCCGATATTGCATACATTAAATACATCTAGTTAATCTATGCATATTGCTATTGCCACCAGGATAAAGCTTGATTATTATACGTAATCCGCAAAAACAAAATGTCGGACACATCAGTCCCGGCCTAGGTTTCTCGTCTGGTTAATGGTTATTCTGTGCTTAATTCACGATTCTGTACTATATTCGTTATTTTAAGATAATTTTTTTAAGAGCCATTTAAAAATGATTGGCGTTAAATCCTCAGTTTTTAATTCCACTGCTTCCTCTATACCATGTTTGTGTAATCCGAATTAATATCGAAAAATTTCTGTATTAGTCCTAAGACTTGATCAGAAGTCGATAACGGATAAATATAATTTCTTATGCATAGGCAATCGGCGCACAAAGACGATCCACCGATAATTCAGTTTCTTATGAAAATTCAGTTATCAAAATATTTCAACAACATTTCAGGAATACGTGTACAGACCGGCGAGAAATTTGTGCTTTCAAACTTTTTTTTATTTAAGTAAACCCAAATTACACTGGTGAATAAGGAGTCATCTGGTATGCAAAAAATAATCGCAATATTTTGTTGAATTTCCCATCGGTAACAACGGAAAGTAGTAATTAGAAAAGACTGACGATCAAAACTTTATATATCAGCGCAATTAGGGGGTAGTAGCACCCCCATTTTAAAAATAAGCTCCCACTAATATTGTTCGTTTTTATGTCTTAAAACTTCTGCTTAAAAATGTTTAATATTAAAAAATCAACGACTTAGTTAAACAAATTTTACATGTCAAATTGTCATACAACATCCTTGCTCAAAAACAATATTACCCTCATTAATTTAAATCCAGAATTAAATACCTGGAAAATACAGAGCTTACCCTCAAATTAAGCACCCCCAAATTTATACATAATATTACGGTATTACTTTTTTTACATCGATGAAAAAAACAAAATTAAATAAATAAGTCGTAAAACAAGTACCTGTTATGTTTGTATTTTGTACACGTGTGTCCTAAATTTGATTTTTTTGCTAGAAAAATATCACACTAACATAAAAGTCACGGCGAAACGTTAAAAAAAATTGTTATTCTAAAGGTTCTCTGTTAAAACTTAAAACGAATAGCATAAGTATGTCACGTTCAACAAATAGTACAGCCTTTGTTTGCATTTGTTCAGTAAACAAGTTAAGAAGTTAAGTTCAAAAACTAGTGATTAAATAAATATTTTTCTGAAACTTTTTGCTATAAAACTGACTTTTACGACTGGATTTTACTGTGATCGATTTCAAAAGTTAAAAGTCTTATATGAAAAAAAATTAGGAATTTTTATTATTACGGCAAAGTATAAGTATAAAAATGTAAACAAAGTATATTATTTTATTATGTTTAACATGTTATACTGCGACGGTACATTGTATCTATAAACTGGTAATATTTTTAGGTACCTATCTAATTATGTTATACTAAGGCATTAGCATTTTCATGTGTTCAAACTGTTTTATTAAATTGAAATAATAAAAATAATGTTTAAGTTCACTGAACGCCCTGATATATTACTTATTATAGTAGGTGTTTGAAATATTACTTAGCTTTAATACAAACAGTAATAATTTCCTAACAAGAATACCTAAATTATTGTAGAAACAAAAAGTACAATCACCCGTTTATCGATAGAATTTACCGTTGGAGTATAATTTGTAAAACATAATAGAATCGCACTAGTAAAAATGACTAACTTTTTATACAAGACTTTTAACTAGATGAAATCGATCACGAAAATAATTATTATGCTTACACAACATACTTTGTTGTTGTCAATGTAATTGACACTACAGTGTGCTGCACTAGCCAGAAACTAATGTAAATAAAGGATATAACTATACCTACTATTCGTACACAAAACGTTTTAATTGAAAGCCTTGAATGATAATTTAGACTTTTGACAAATATAAGTGCTTATTAAATTTGTTGGTATTAGGTGTACAATTATAATGCAAGCTTAATATAGGTATTTAAAAAATGTATGTACTTTGGCCTTTGGTTTTGTAGACGGTTTAAAGGCGCCCAACAATATTTTTAAAAATTTTATCGGCCTGCGTTGTTTTAAAAACGGATATCTGTTTACCAAGAAAAAAAGAACAATGATTTAGTATAATCTTTCAAGTTTGAAAAGCGCTATTCGTTAAATATATTTTGATTCATCTAAGATATCAGAGCAGCAGATATTTTAAATAAAGTATTTAGACAATTATATGGGAGAAACAAAAAATTAACATCATAACAGAAATTGATGTTTAACTTTAAATACTTATTCTAACATGCTGACTATCTAATGAATAATTAGAATTCTTTATGATGATTAAAAAAGTAAATAAGCATAGTATCATGTTTGTACTTTTGACTTTAAAATAAAAGTACCATTTTTTCTTATTACCAATATTTTTAAAAGAAGTACAGAGGTCAGTGTTGGCAGAGAAATTGGGGCGGGGGAGATCATAGGTCTACATGAATTATAACTAAAAATCACTTTCAAACAAACTTTTTGATGCTAATGAGTAAATGTTAGACATAAAAATTGCGATAAAAGTACATATTTTAAGACCTATAATGTACTTAAATTTATATGTTGAGTATTAGGGAGGATACGATTAAAATTGAGTTTTAAATTCCATTTAATTTTACATAAATAATCGAATGTTATTTATTTTTACAAATAAAACGGTCACAAAAATGCTATACATCTGTATGTGTAAAACGATTGATTTAATTTTAGAAAAAGTTAATTTTTCCCAGTTCAACATTTTAGAAAAGTATCCAACACAATACGTTTTAACCTTAAACTGTGGTAATATAAAAATAATCAAAAACAGTTCAAAATTTAAAAAGAGAAATTTTGAGATACCCAACAGTTAAAAACCAAGAAAATGTATCGCTGTAACACTTTCCCGTCGAATGTGTGAATCTATTTTATACTTTTTGATTATCGACTGGGAAGAAAAAGACTTATTATTTTTTTTTAATTTTACTGGAAAATGTATCATTTTTACAATGATGTTTTTCCGCATTCAATAAGTAAGTAGTTATATAGTAAGTACTATTAATGGTATATGTGTGTGTGTGTGTTTTTTTTTTTTAATTGTATTAGCCTAGTGTTAATTTTACACTAAACTCCTACAACAGAGATTACAATTTATTAGATTTAATTAAACTGGTCGGGTTTCTTAAAAATAATATGTTGTTTTTTTGTCAGGTTTAGTGGTAAAGTGATTGGTTTTTATTGATATGATCGATTCGCAGACGACTTAATTAGGTTGTGAGTTTTCCTTTTGACTTTTCTATTGAATAATATATTTGTATTTTATACCGCTGTAATATTTGTTCGTCCACAAGTGCATTATGTGATATTGTATTGTGAAATATAATAACATATGTCTCCTGGTATGAGAAAAACGCCCAGAATTATTACAATACCGTGTAAACTAATGTATCCTCGTCTTAACGCGATAACACAGCTTAGGTGTTACAAAATATAATAATGCTACAAAATCCGTTGTTGTACCAGTAATAGTAAAAAAAAAAAAAAAATTTAAACCTGTAATCCTTTGTAGCCACTTTTCTGTTTATATAAACTCCTCTAATCCCTTGCCAATATGAGGGTTGTTGGCTGAAATTATTTTGCTTTTTTACATCGACTCGCGGCTATTGTGCGAAACGCTTTTGTCAGCATGAAATAATATAATATATATATATATATATTTATGTAATGAAAACGATCCGATAGCATGCGATATTGCTAAAATATATATTTGCATAAAAAAACAAACCAGTAAACTTGTGAAATACAAAATCATTTTATTATGTATAGTTTGTGTTCCAAGTTGTATAAGACGGGTTACGCACCATGGCTGTGCTGTACAGCTGCTTGGAGTATATACAATAATAATATAAGTTATGCGAAAATTGTTAATGTATGATAACATTATATGATATGTGAAAGTTTCAAATGAATAACGATATAAATTACAATGACACTGGCGATTATCCACACTAGAAACAGCGGCAGAAATACCATGATAGTCAGTAGTTTCAGCAACAGTGCATAAGAAGTCAATATAAGTAGCAAAGGTGCAATAGCCGTGAGTAAGAGAACCAGTATTACAATACTAGCGAAAAGCAGCACGATAGCTACTGCACTGACCACAACTGCGTAACGCACCTTTGCGAATAGGCCTTTGCCTATTTCCTGGATGCCAGTCAGAAAGGTCGTTCCAACAACCTGTGAAATACATTTGAAGAATACAGCGATAGAGTTAAATTTAAAAAATTAATTTTACACTTACAAGTTCTGGTCGGTGGGGTAGGTATATAACTGTTAAAAACAAAATAATATGTAAATTTCTAAGAGAAGTTTATTACTTGTGTGTCGACCTGCAGGCTCGACGAATCCGGTTTTCCGCATTCAATAAGAGAAGTTCTGTCAAGGCTTTTGACTTCGGGCAACACCATGCAAAAACCCGGGTAGGAAATCATATCTACACTGCAGTGCAAATGGCGGCTGTCCATCGTCAAATTCCAACTGACTTCTTCTTCCTTATATGACTTTTTTAGAGAGGTATTTTATGTTTTAATAGATTTCGGAGAAACTTTTAAACGCAAAATATTTAAATTTCTATGAGAAGTTTGTTACTTGTGTGTCGACCTGCAGGCTCGACGAATCCGGTTTTCCGCATTCAATAAGAGAAGTTCTGTCAAGGCTTTTGACTTCGGGCAACACCATGCAAAAACCCGGATAGGAAATCATATCTACACTGCAGTGCAAATGGCGGCTGTCCATCGTCAAATTCCAAATGACTTCGTGTAGTGCTGACTGGCGCGTTGTTCCAATCAACACAACGACCATCAACACAAAAACAGTAGAATATAGCTTATACATGTTGTATTAGCTGTAAGAAATCCTTTGCAACAGGAAAAATTAGCAAAAACGGTTTGGAGAAATATGTTGTTTTACACTGAAACGGTGCGGTGATACAAATGTAATAACAGTTACCTACGTTATAAACAAGCCGTTTTTAATACACATGTACCTATACTAGTAGTATTTGCCAGCATATATAAATATATAGAATGTTTTTTTTCAAATAACATGTGTGCTACCGAGTGTGATTTGCGAGAACTTGGAGTATCGAGAAGAGATCTAACTGTTGAAATTACAACACAATTTTTGATAGATTCAGCATGTAAATATGATATTAAATTATAATAATTTAATTTATATTATTTATATTTATATATAGAGTTATTATTTTGTCGTGAACCACTCAATATCTCATAGGATTTAATAAGGAATTTATAAGATGTCCATTTACTTCAAGTAGGAAAAATGAGGCCAGGAAGGTGATGTCTGTCTTCCATGAGGCAATTTTCAATTCATTCGAGGAAGTTCTGCCACAATCGTTCTAGTGTCTCCCTGGTGATTAGTGCCACCTCTGTACGAATTGCCACTTTCAAATCATCCAAAGAAAATTGCCGTAAAATAAATAGCGTACACTTGTGGCTTACACCCACAAACATAATATTACACAATATCAAGTTAAATCAATTTTTTTTTCCTCGAAAATTGCCGTAAAATAAATGGCATACACCAACAAACATATTACATAAGTTAAAAAACAATTTTTTTGAAAAATTAATATTATTTTGCCTTTTTGAAAGTGGAAAATGTTTCCGTGGTCACCCTGTATATAGAATAATACTACACTCTACCTTTCCTCTTGCCCTAAACATGAAACTTCAAAAATAGTTATCCAAAACTGGTTATCGACCATTTGAAAATTTAAGTGCATCATTATCAATTTAAAAAAAGTTAATGAAATATGTATGCGCTGACATTTAAGTTTCAAAAGTTTCTATAAAAAAAATAAGTTGGAAGGGGGTGAAAAGTTGAGATCAAGTTGCATAAAAACACCATGTAAAGATACAAATAAATTTCCTATTAAACCCAGTGATGACTATGATTAACAAATGATGACTATAGTGGTCATTTGTAAATATATAATAATAAAAGATATTTGTCTTGTAATAGTTTATGTATAATATACTGCAAAGTTATATTGTACAAGGAAAAGCTCCAAGTTCCATTGACAATGTTTTATTTTTTTATATAAAAGCTGCTAAGTTTTTTTAAAATTTAATTATGAAACTACCGATTGCTGTTTGAAAGGTGTATTTTATACAATTTATATGAATAATAGATTATGATACACAGGGTGTCCGGCCATTTTACGTCCACGTGAAAAAAGTATTGACTGAGAGTAACACGGCTGTATAGAGTATAACACGGACTATCTAAATATTTTATTTATTAGTTGTGTGTTACACAAAACATGTAGTAACTATAGTAAGTTAAGTTTGGTAAATTCCTAAAAATTTTTAAAAAATTTTTAAGGGGGAAATCATGAATACTCAAAAGCAGACTGGTTGTGTCGGACAATGCCTCACTATACGCGACAACTTTTTGATAACTAGGCTAGGCTAGGCTAGGCTAGCGTTTTTAGTTTTTGGCAACCACGAGCCGCGCTTCGCCGGCCGTGGCTGACCGTAGTATATTATACATATTCTATCCGCGCATCTAACCCTAGTACCCACAATTTACAATCTGTATATTACCTTGACGGAAATAACACAGATATTGATGTGACTGATGTGATTAATTTGCGACAGCTTGTGAAGAAATGACAACGTAAAGTAATGTACTAAAAACTAAAGTAGATTAAAAAATTAATCCAAAAGTAACGTTTTTATGCCCATTAAAAAGTATAAAATAACTCACCGGGGGTCTTGATAACCAAATAGGACAGGTGAACTAGAAAAACGCGGGGCGCATCTTTACTACCTACTTCACACGTCTGCGTATAATATAATAACATTATCTTCTCGTTAATAACTACCTTAACTCATAATTCATGCACAATCATTTTTTCTCTTCTAAATAAAATTATACTTGATGACATGTCCATGTAAAATTGAGCACCCCATTACTTTAAATGTTAAGCAAGTAGGTTGAACGAAAAAATTGAAGCAACCTACATAAAACAAACTTTGGAGAGAATAGCAATTAAGTCTTTTCCATTTGCAATGAAATTTAAGGCAAGTGGCACGGAAATCCATTAAATTTCATTTCCGATAAAAAGTCATACTATCACTTTCTGATCCGTTCGGTTAGAGAGACAGCATTATGAGAGACAACTTAATGCATTAGCACGAAAGTTTAGGTTTTAATAACCAAGTAGAAAGATGCGCCCCACGTTTTTCTAGTTCACCTGTCCTATTTGGTTATCAAGACCTCCGGTGAGTTATTTTATACTTTTTAAGGGGCATAAAAACTGACTGCATGGTCAGAAGGATTATCATAAGAATTAGTAATCAATTTAAAAGCTTATAATTTTAGATTCATTACTGTATAAATTATCATAAAAGTTGATAATTACTATATAAATTATCATAAAAGTTGTAAGAAAATGCAAAAAAGTGTAATGATGGGAACGGGTTTGAACCTGGTTACCGCTCATATCTGAGCACCGTAGTTTCAGCCGGATAGCTAATCGGGAAGTGCTCGAAATTTGAGTTGCAAGATTCCACCCGGAACGACAAACAAGATTGTGAGTTCATAAAAGCGTTATAATAATAATTTTTTATGTGTTGCAATCAGTAATCGTACCCCAAAGGTGCATTACATTATAAGGGCAAAAATAAAAAAAAAGTTTACCACTTCTCATTCAACATCCAGTTAACACCCCGAAAAATGAACACATCAAAAAACCCACCTATAAGGTAAAAAAACTATGTATAAAATATTTATAATTATAAAACAAACGGTTTAAAATAATAGTATGACGCGTCTTTAATGGTTCCAAAAAATTGTACAAGATTCATTTTTATAACAGTAATAATTATAAATACTTCTACAATAATGATCCGAGTGGAAAACAATGATACAATTTGCTGGAATGAGACTAATGTATAGTATAAACTAAAAAAATTATAACAAACTCAAACATACTATGTTTAAATACAATATTGTTGAGATCACATTCTGGAAGAGTGAAATCGACTCGGTAAAGGTGATAGATTACAATGTACGGTAAACAACCAAGTATCATGAATACTAGAAAGTTTAATAACAAAAAAAAAAATGCGGTCAGCATACAAAAACATTTTCATACGTTTGGTAAAAATATGAAATTACAAACAGAGGGCAAACTGTGGAAGAAAATTATAGAAGACAAATTATTTCTAAAATTGTAAAAAATACTAGTACAATCTTTTTTTTTTTACAATTCAATATAAATGGAATTACTTGAAATGGAATTTTTGCAAATAATTAATAATTCTTTAATCATCTGGCGATGATTTAAAAAAAGAAAATTATTTGAATTAATAATAAAATAAGAAATTTTTCAGAAAATTAATTAAAACATTAAAGAATTTGAATAATAAATTTGTTATCGTAAGAAATTAAACAGACATTGTCGTAATATACTTAATTAATTTCTTACGCTTCATTAAAATTTTTTTTTAAAAACGACAAATTGTTATACACACAATTTATAATAGTATGGTAATAAATTAGAAGTCATGTATTTTTAAGCAGACGATATAGTTTTCACACGTTTCATTGATTTTAAAGTAAATAATAATAGAAAAAAAAATTAACTAACAATACATGTTATACACACACACACACACATATATATAAATATATGGAAATATTTTAACATAAATTACATTTATTTATACACGCACACACACACAAAAAAAAAAAAAAAACAAGTTAAAAGTCATTAATCTTCTTTGATTTCTACCGTTTTGGATTTCTCTACTGTGTCCATGCTATGATCTTCATAACTAATAATAAAAAAAAAATTCAACATTTAATTAATTTGAACATTTTAATTTCAGCAAAACTACAAGGTTAGTACTTATCATTTCTTTTTTTTTTAATTGTTCTCCGTTTTATCGTCTTACCTGAACAACGCTTTTAAATCGCCAGACACTAGAGCGATCGCCATCGGTGTCAACAAACACGCAGGAACCAAATACAACAATGCCGGTTGAGCTGCTTTGAACACATGCATAATGAAAACAGTAGTCAGTAGTCCTAAGAAATATGCCAAAAACGTGGCGTTGAAGTACAAGTTCGTTTTACGTTTCAAACTGTAAACAAAAAAAATTATCATTTAGTAAAGTTTGCATCCCACAAAGGCTTGTACTTAAAAATTACCTTAGGTCGAATCGCAGTAAGAGAGCTATAAAAATACCCGGAATCACAATGTCGCCCAAACCCAACATTGCGAAATTCTGGGCGCCGACAATGCCATTTTCGAGTATATCTTGAGGGAAGACAACTGTGAGAAAAAGAAAACTATAAAGCTTAAAATTTCAATAAAATTATTGATTGGGTTTAAAAAACGGCTAGACAAACGTTTGATGGGGGCATCGAAAGATTTGGCGACGGTGACCATGACGTTGGTGCCGAACACCCAGAATATGTCGTATACGAATAATCCACACAAGAGAATTGATCCGATTTTGATGTTGTTGAGGTGAACAAATTCTACTCCGTTGATTGCAAATGCCAGTCCGAAAATATTATTCATGATCCAATGCTGAAAAAATATTAAAAGAGATCGATTGTTGTCGAACACATTGTTGTTACATTGATAATAAAAAACGCTCAAAACCAGTACCTTGTTGTATAAATAAACAGTGCCTAACAGAGCGCACAGTAAGAAGCAGAGGACGTCGTGAGATGTGAATTTGACGTTTATGTGTTCAATTTTAGTGTCTTCGGCTCCTTCGATAAAGTCAAGTTTGTATTCTTTTTTGGGTACACAAGTCGGCATTATGGCATTGAACCAAGTACTGAGGAAACAACGTTTGGTAACGATAATATAAGCTTAAATATATACTTAGTTATTGCATCTCTACCCCCTCACCATCAAAATATTCAATGATAAAAATAAAATGTCAGCGTAAGGGTTAGCCAATCAAATCAATTTATTTTATAAAGGTATTATGTATATAAAAATAATAATATCCCCTTACACTGCTATTTTGTGAATTGATAACATGATAAAGTGGACATAATTAATAACCTAGTATATTTAAGCCATGAGCTTATGTAAATATATTTGTGTAAATTTCTTACCATAACAAATTGTGTAACGCGGCTACTCCGAGTATGTAGAAATACAGAGTGACAAGTAAATCAATGTACTGTTTGGAAAACAACTATAAGAAAAAAAAAGAAAATTTCACATCATTTAACGACAACCAGTATGCCATTTAGGAGAGAATTCAAAAACAAACAAATAGTGGTTGAAGGTAAAATAATTAGTTTGGGTTATGAAAATATTGTTTACCCTAAAAACAATATAGAGCGAAAAAAGAGCTCCACTCGCAATCAATGGAAACATCATTGCATCTTTGGCAGTCATGGATTCAGGTACTTCTTTCTTTATCTAAAAAAATAAAAATAAAAATTAGTTGTTTGAAATGTTGTACATTTTTTTTTTTGTTTTAACATATTATGAATAGGTTTAATCGCCCTACTTTTATTCTATGTTATATTTTTTATTTAAGTTTTATGGTATTTTCAGTATGTTTTAAACATTCCAAAATATTAAATTTTAATTTGAACATTTTTTCCAACATTCCCCATTCCGCTCACATATAGCAATCAGGTCCGGTCCGTTAATATTATATTAGTTTCTATTTTTAAAACATTCTATACAAGTTGTACATAGCAATGTCCTGTTCATCACTAGAACTCTGGCATTTTTGTGATGGTGGACCTCTAGTCGTTTAAATTGCACATATCACATGAATCTCACACGAATCGCACATATATTGCATCACTTCACAATTGCCTCGTCTTAAGGCAGAGGGCCTTAAGTACCCTGTAGACAATCAAATTTGTTTGATAATGTTGTTGGTCGAACTTCACGTTTTCATCAAACAATAGCTCTAACGATCAAACCAAAGAACAAACAAATTTATCAAACTTGCCAGTAGTTTTGGTTTTCTCTTTTCCATGGCGTGACGTTCGCATCAAACACAGCATCAATCCAGATTTTCATCAAACACGTTAAACACTTACTTTGTTTGTCAAACAAGCCTGCATATTAGCAAACAATTTGGCACACACATAAAATTTGATTGTCTACAGAAGCCTTTAGTAAATCATTAAATGTAAAGAACAACTCCTACGCTTGCCGGCTTCGGGAGCCGACTTGAGCCCTTCCGGGACTCTTCATTGAATGGGGGCTTATGCCCCCAAACCCCCAGAGGGAAAAATAGCTTACCTAAAGGTCATAACTAACCTAACCTACCGTTCTAGAAGCGTCGGCAACCTTACGAGACCTAACCTAACCTATCCTTGCGGACAAATATATGGGGTGACAGGAGCAACTGCGGCCGCCCCTGTCACCACAGTCTATTATTGATACGCGGAAATATGCAAATTTCAAGTAGCTATTACTTTAGAACTAGAGGAGTCCACCAATTCAGTTTCGTAATCAGCAAAAAAATACTACAAGATGGAAAAAAAATAGATGTCCTGTAAAGTGCATTTACACACGAGTAGCTTTAGATTAAGAACGAGCCAGTTTTGATTTTCAGAATTTAAATCAACGGCAAAATAAGTTGTCCAGTAAAGTATATCAATATCCTACACTCAAACCAGCTTTATCTCATAACGCTTCTCCTTGGTCGTGCTAATGAACTCGTACAATAGTTACAACCGAAATGCGTTTTGCTTTGTTAGTTTATCCGTCGCCAAGCAAACAAGTATGTACTTTGTATAACAAGTATGCTTACTTTGTTTTGTATGTGTAGCGTTACCGATCGGAACGCACCGAAAAAAATAGGCACCAGGGCCATAATGACTAGACTACTGTAAGCAATCATCATGCCTTCGAAGGTGGCCGGCGTCTTCTTCAGGATCGATTCTGCCGCGTCGGTGCCATTCGTGCTGTTCACAGCTTCGATTATGTTGTCCACCGTTTCGGACATGTCTAGAGAATTGCACTACTAAACTAATGAAGTAATATCTATCTAAATTACACACAGTCGTGACGCTTAATCGTTTACACGACTTGTACGGAGAAGACTGAAGATTGAATGGAAGTAAAACAGAAAAAAAATATGTTTACTCGACTGCAAATTATGTCCACATCACAAGAAACAACTACACGAGAGATATACAAAATAACTAGAAAACGTATCAAGAAAATGTATCAATACAAATAGCGCACGTCAACGTATTTCTGCAGGGCACAGCGATCGATGATAAGCATATGCGCGTTGTACACATTTTCGTCCGTCACGTTGGCCGCACTGCACGCAGGCGCGCGCCAACCAGTTTCCTCTTATCACTGTATAAACTATAAACTACAATTATTATTTAAAAATTACAAAATACAAATCTCTAATTTCAAACAAGCGTACACTGGTATATTAATAACTAAATAGTCATTTATTAACATTTTCATTTAATCTGTGGTCTGAACAGTAGCGAATACTATAAACGATTCGTTAAAAAAAATTATATATATATAAAAAATATATTGTATACTAGAAGTGTAGAAATAAAATAGAAAATATCATAAGAAGCGCTTTAAAGTTCAGTTGAATAATAATAATTTTAAAAATAATGTCCGATTGCAATTAAATATTACGAATAAAACTAAGAACGAAATAAAAACTAAATGTTGAAAATGCAAACTGGTCGCATCAGGGTCATGACTCATGAGGCATTGTAGTTATGTACTTTTACTTGGTGCAATTTAAGAGAATATATTTTGTGTTTAAACGTTTTTTTACATATTAAATAATCGCACGTGTAGGGTTTAATTAATATAATTAATATGTAATCAAAATATTTGAAAAATGACATTTAACTGACTGGTAAAAATATAATCAAGTTTTATAGAGTAAAGTGGATGTAATCATAGTGGAAAACCACTTGCATCCGTAGAATTCTACTATGATTTTGAAAAGAAATATTGAAACTAGTTAGCTGTACCATATAAGTGGTATAGTAAAACATTATTAGTCCGACTGGCGACTAGTTCCGATCTGATCCCATACAGCATGTTTTTGCAAAATCTTAATTTATTACTTAAACCGTGGTGGTTTTAGAGCAAGAACACCTATTATGAAATCTAAAGAGAATAGAGATGATAACATTTTAGAGGCAACGGCTTATCCTTTTTTTAATAAAATGTTCTATATAATATACAGCTTGATACTTGATCCAGTCATAATTTTTTTTTAATAAAAAAATGTAAAAAAAGGATATATGCGAATTGCGATTGTCTCTAAAATTAGACTTGACATCAATACATTAGTATTTAGTAATGATTTGTTTGGTTTTTGGATAGAAATTACAAACACCGGGTTGTACAAAAAAAAGTGAACACCCCGCATAATGTTGTTTAAAATACGACACTGTACCTTTAATGGTTCTCGAATTGACCGAGACGATTTTATATTTATTGTAAGAAAGTTTTACGATTTCAATACAGGAAAAGTTGATCTTTTAAAAACTTGTAAAAGATCATGATCCTGGAATGATGTAAAAATAGTACTTTATAATATTATAGTATAGGTATATTAAATTCACTATAGCACTGTTGATCGATTAACATTACGACAGGATCTTGTTGGAGACAACTAATCGCAAGGCATAAGACTATCCAATGCTAGAACGAAAATTAGAAAAAATTAATTTAAGAAGACAGCCTGGATATGAATACCTAGTATCGAGCTGGGGAAAATCCATGTGAACAAACTTATTACCAAACGAGATTTATCATTTCCAGTGTCATTATATGCAAGGCATTGATTATCAAAAGACCGGGCAATGCCCGGGAAGTTACCATCACCACAGAAAATTCCTATATTATATTCGGATGACTCGCAGACTAAATTCACAGAATTAATATAGCATTCATACACTAAAATATTCGAAGATGGAAGAATACATCACAAAATAATAAATTTAATAAGTTAATAAAATATCTTTTATCTAACTTGATATATTTAGACTTGGAGACATTTCAAGAACATCAAATTGTTTTTTTTTTTTGTACAAAATATATAAAAATAAAAAATGAATCTCAAAATAATTATCTTATTATAAAAAGTGATGTTTCAAATCTTTTTTTTATTTTGCTTTACAGTTTACAGTTTACTTCTCGATTAAATTTAGTTTTCCGTATCCAAATTTTATATATAACATATATCTAACCGTTTACCATAAGAGTATTTTTTTCTTTGGTTGTACATTACAATTTAATGTTTTTTTTATATACACAATACATTTTTTTTAAATACAATAACTGTAATGGCATACCTAACATACTTTAATAAAATTAATATCAGTGTTTAAGCGATGATATTAGAAAATTTAAAACATTCAAGAATATTATTTATAAAATACTTTCAAAACAATAATTACTAATTGATAAACTTTAAAAATAAAATTCATAATTATATATAACTATTTAATAATTAATATATGTATTTTACAAATTAAGTATTGATTAAATTTATGGAAAAAATTCATACAGTGATCTAACACTAAAACAAAATCATATTGTGTAAATATTTTTACGTTAATGATATAATATTATCTTTTAAAATCTCATTCCAAAGTGTTTTTGTATTCCATTGCTAAAGAAATGGCAGCAGACAATAACAAGGATCTATGACTAATGCCAGTCATCACTTCTTGCCATTCTGACGGGTGTACCTTGTGGACATAAATATAAAAGTAAAAACCGATGTAATCATTAACATTGTGTGCGACTTAAATCGCCAAAAAATTACCTTCAAGTTACTCGCCATAAAGTTTGCAACGGGAATGCTAAATCCAGTTGATAAATGTTCGTAATCTTTAGGCGTGTCATCACTAATAAGTCTCACTACTGAAGATGGCACAGGAACGCTTTGAGTATAGATTTCTAGATCTATATTTTGTTCCATGTCGTTGAGTTTTAATAAACCAAATTCATACCATCTGAAATTTAGCAATATTGTTGGAAAATTAATTAAATTATAACACAAAATTAAATTGTAAGAAAATTACTTAGATTCAATGGGTTCTACAATAAATCTCTCGTACGCTACGATTGGTCCTTTTGGCACGTGTATTCTGACAGCGTCTATACAGTATTTGGTAGCTTGCGATGCAGCCGTAAAACCAACGAGCTGCGTTGCGAACGGTTGATTTGGTGATTCTAGACCTCTAAAAAAAAACATTAAATAGAAATACTAGCATACAATATTATAAATTCAGTAAATCAATAGTTACGGTTAAGGTGCATTTACACATAAAACCAAATGCAAATGAACCCGAATTCGCTAGGCATTAGTCTGTACAGTTTATATTCTTGAATGGATAAATAAAGGAACACCAATTGGTGGAATGCTCGCAAAACCAAAAAAAGTCGTAGTGGTCGTTCGTTTGAGCACAATGTTTACACTCGTCGTAGTTGGGTATACTAAATTTGCGTTCGGTTCCAAGTTTTACAACACACCTTTAACATTTTCCAAAATAACTTACCGTACATTAAATTTTCCAAAAACTTTTTGAAATCCTTCTCTCACGGCGCTTACTACAATTTCTTTTTCAGTAGCCACAACTACATCGAAACTATCAATGTTATTAGCTGTAATGCAAAAATAGGTATTCTTAACATAATATATGTTCACAATCGAGACAAGTTAATAACAACTTGAATATCTATTGGACTAACCGTTAAATGTGTCTTTCATTTGAGGGTCCAGCGTAGTAAGCACTGCGTCCACAGAACTTTTAGCTTTTTCTGCAACCATTGAAAATATACTTGAACCACTTCCTTTCATCCAGTTGAAAAGATCAGCTTTGCTGCCTTGTTCATCTTTAACTTCTTCCTTATCACTTGGTGTTTCGTTGGACGCATTCATTGTAATATCGGGAGTTTCCTCAGGTTTGCTTGAAATTACAGGGCTAAAGGTAAATAAGTTTAAATATAAAACTACTGATTAAATAAAAACTTTACGTGACCTGATCATTTGCAATACGTAGAGAGCCAATATTTGTTTAGGTGTTATTTTTGTTTGTTTGTTAACGTTATCATTTTTTTTATAATGGGTGTACGCTTATAAGACTTGACAAAAAAGGTACATTTAAAATTTGCTTACGAGAATATTGGAGTGTGAAAGTTTTGACCGGCCATGCCGCTAGTATTCAAATCGGAAATGTTGGTTTCGGCAGGTTTTGTCTCTGCAAAAATCACAAAGATTCCATTGTTTTAATTAATCACTAAATCTGTTAAAGTAATAGATACCGTTTAGAGCATCAGTGACAAAACTCGGTAGTGGGGTTGGAGGCGGTAGTTTTGACAGCAATTGATCGACTTTTGAACTTTTTCCTTAAAAATTCACAATTCGCAATGTTACAAGATATGACATATTACAATTAAATAATCACAAAGTTCAACTAGAATATTAATCAACTTATCTTTTTTTTTTTTTAAAGAATGAAGTAAAATATTATGACGTTTGACCAATTCTGATGACTTAGTACTTACTATTGCTAGAGTTATTTGTGTTTTCCATCTTTTAAGGGATTGTATTACATTAGTTTAGAACCACAATAAGGTAGCTATGAAAAATGAATTAGTATTTTTTGCGTATAATAATTTTAAACAAGAATGGTATCGAAGATAAACATCACTTCAACAACATTTACAGTTGATAACACTCGTCGCATTATCAGTTTTTATAGTTATTGTATTTAATTCAGATAATAAGAATAGCAATAAAATTAATTAACAATGACATTATTTTAACGGACACACACAATAACTAACAAGTAACATTATATATTGACCAATTTATTTATCTGTAGACTTGTCTATTATTTTATTTCTATTTTTATTAATTTAGCAACTCTGTAATAATAATTTTAATAATTATTACCTTCTTGACGTTCACTTTTCTATTTCGCAGTCTTACCAAAAATACCTATACTGACGTAATAATAGAATAAAAAGTCTCTGCTCAATATGGCCTCATTCCTCCCAAACAACCAAACGTTTCCTTGTTATGTTAATGTCAATTGCTACAATAAAGCGATTTTAATGTAATCGAGACGGATAAAATGATTATAATGTGAAAAACATATTATATATTTCCAAAATTTGTTGCAAGTACTTAATTGCGCTGTGCTGTGCGCAATAAACGATTGACGATTTTTCTATAATAACAAATATCAGCTGTGGTTAGAGCTGGGGGTAGTTCTTCCAAAAAATGATAACGCGTGATAAGAAATAAATGTTACATAACCTATAAAATGTGTAATACTACAGATAGTACCAACATCGATTTTACCAAAAACCCGCCAAGAGAAATTTCGTATTTTAATATCAAAACCATTGCCTTTAGTTAAGTTCTTATCTTTATTGCAAATTGCAGTTAGATCTTTATCAATTCTCTAATTAATAGTGTATTCACTATACACGTAAAATTATATAATGTAAAACTCATAATAAATTACACTATATTAGTGTATATACATAACTTATAAGTATATGTTATAATTTAATATTATTTGGTATAAAATAATAATAATTTTATTGAAATTTCCCACAAATTGTTTATATTACTATTTAAATAAAACATTTTTTTTACTTTTTACCTAAATTAGTTGACGATTTCAAAATTTGGCTGTCAAGTATAAATTAGTTTTACCACATCTTACATATGTATTCTGTAGTTAAAGAATACAGGTAGCTTATGAGCTTTGTCTTCAATCTTGTCTTTTAGAAGATATATTATTAACAAAATTTGGTATCTAAAAGATATATTAAAGCAAGGAAAACGGAACATATGACACTTGTAGTTTAAAATTCCTCACATAAATAACTAGAATAAAACACATATTTAATTTTCAAGTTTCTACACAAATCAATAAATACATATTAAATTTATAGTTCAAAGTGAACCTATTTCCAGATAAAGACTTGTGATGAGAACAAAAATTGTTGTACGGCCCTTTTGCATGGGATATTAGGTAGATAATAAGAATATTGCATAATATAAAATTATTGTAAACTAGATTAAACAATTCTGTTATATTAATAAAAATGATCAAGCTAGGATAAGTAGAAAAGATAGAAAAGTTTTTCTAGTTTTTCAGTTTTTCTAGTTTTTCTAGTTTTTCTAGTTTTCTAGTTTTCTAGTTTTTCTAGTTTTTCTAGTTTTTCCGGTTATTCTAGTTTTTCTAATTTTTGTAGAAAAATAGAAAAATAGAAAAGTATTTTCTAGAAATACTAGAAAAGTATTTCTAGTTTTCTAGTTTTTCTAGTTTTTCAGGTATTCTAGTTTTTCTAATTTTTAGAAAAGATAGAAAAACTAGAAATACTAGAAAAACTATTAAAACTAGAAAAACTTTTCTATCTTTTCAGGTTTTTCTAGTTTTTCTAGTTTTTATAGAAAAGATAGAAAAACTAGAAAAACTAGAAAAACTAGAAAAACTAGAAAAACTAGAAAAACTAGAAAAGACTAGAAAACTAGTTTTTCTAGTAGAAAATCTAGCAATCTAGAAAAACTAGAAAAACTTATGAAAAACTAGAAAAACTAGAAAACTACTCTTTCTCTCTCTTTCTAGTTTTTCTAGTTTTCTCTAGTTTCTCTAGTTTTTCTCTATCTTTTTCTATTCTTTGTAAACTAGAAACTGTCTATAAACTTTCTACTAGAAACTTTTCTATCTTTTCTGTTTTTCTAGTTTCTCTCTTCCTTCTCTAGCTTTATCTCTTTCTTATTTCTAGCTTCCTCAAAAAACGGATTTAAAAACTAGAAATAATGTTATTTTCTAGTTTACTAGTATTTCTAGATTTACATTTATCTTTTCTATAAAATTAGAAAAACTAGAAAAACCTGAAAAACTAGAAAAACTGTTTCTAGACGATTTTCTACTTTTCTAGTTTTCAGAACCTAAGCAAACATTTCGGTTTTTCTAGTTTTTCTAATTTTTTCAGAACGTAAAAACTAGAAATATAGACTAGAAAACTACTTTTTACTGCTTGAAATCTAGAAATAGATTTCTGTCTCTCTCTCTCTCTTTTTTCTCTCTCTCTTTCTTTCTCTCTCTCTTTCTTCTTTCTTTATCTTTCTCTCTCTCGGTCCGTGACAATACTTTTTTTTCCGTATTTGTACGGTCCGTGACAATATTTTCCGTGACTTAACGGCCTCCCATTTGTATTAATTACATACTTGATAGACTGTTTACCATGTTTAAGTCTTATCGTGGTGATACCTAAAATTTATGATTTTTGACCTGTGTCACTTTTGGACCACGTGTGAGATATGCTTGCAGTCAGAAGCTTATGGGAAATATGTTATAGAAAAGTTGTTTAACAGTAGTTGTGGGTTTAATAATTTATTTATTCATTTTTTTATAATTTAGAAGGGTTTGTTGACAGGTCGAGTGTATACGGGTATCAATAAAGAAAAATATTATTCTTGTCTGTTCAAAGTTTCATTGACATTTGACCTCTGCCTATGAAACAAAGTAAAATTGATTGATGGGATAACAATAAAAGTAAGTATTACAATCGAGTTGATTTTACAGGAGTTTTAAAATCATTACACGCAAATTGTTTTATTTATTTTATTTTATTTTACATTTTTAAGTTTTAAGTATAAATATAATATAAAGTATTAGAACTAAGTTAGATTATTTAATGTTAACGAGTTGTTTGTAGAATACAGACATTGACCAAACAATGGATAGGCGGTGGAAAATTAGTCGTTTGGCTGTTATTGGTCCAGTTTATTATCTTTGTAAAATGTTTGGTGTTTTACCAATCCGTTACTCATACTGTAAAATCGAGAACAACAGAAGACCGAAAGATTTTCGTGGGAGATTTCATAATAACTGTAAGAATAAATATGTTTGTTATCATAATTTAGAGAAAGAAAATCTGTGTGGATCAGGAAATATTAAAAACTCATTTTTATAAGCAGACTAACTATAATCTAAAATTGATAAAATTTGATACAAGTATACTTGATGAATTCGATAACCGATGGATTAACGATATGTTATTTGAATGTTTAATGCGATTCATAATTAGCTTTTAAAAGTACTATTTAGTGTAGTGTCACTAAATTTTATCATGCAAGAAATAAAATTTAAAATGTTGTTTTTATTTTCTCACATTTAATTTATAGAATCATTACATATTATAATAGCTTCAATCGAAACTAATTAATCAATATAATGGTAAGGAATTTGAATCATGGCTTTTTTTTTCTACACTGACTATACTTATGCCCCTTCTCCCCAACCCAAATATTGGTTTTCTCAAATTGTTCGACTGCTATTTATAACGGAAAATTCGTCTGATTTTCCAGATCAAGACGTACGGTTTCACGTGAGCAAAAGTGGAATTATGTTCTGGAGTGTGCAATTCGCCTTTCAAATTTGGACGTTCTTTGGGTTTTCAAAATTGATCATTAATTCAATATCCAGCAGAAAAATGTTGAATTGTTCGATAGGAAACACCTGCAGTATGTTGGGCTTAATGATCTCGCATATGCTTAAAAGTCCGATTATCGCAATTTTGGTTCTGTTTCGTCTGGAAAAAACTGTTTGTTGCTTGAACATGACAGCAACTCTACTACTTCGACAACGCCATCCTCGCAGATTGCCCATCGCCACGTTTGCCGTACTGCTATACATGATCTCTCATTTGTTCAAAATAGCAACGACAGTAGTTCTTGGTAGTATACATTTTCCATTAGAATATTTTACATTTTTATTTGTTTACATATGCCCGATGTTACTCATTCATCTGATATGCATCTTGTGTTTGGTATCAAAGAACAGCTACGAAGACATTAACAGGTAATAATTTAGTTCTACACATTTTGTAATAAATTTACCATTTTAATTGTTTATTTATAATTCATTATTTTTAAATATTAAATAGTTTTAAAATATAAAGCTGTTTGTAAATTTTAAAATAAAACACAAAGCCAAAAAGATAAATTGTTTCAAAAATCAAAAATTTCGAAATCAAAAAGCCATTTATCTTTTTGCTGCTGTGTTTTATTTTTAATTTTCCATTAAACATTTTTTACTTAGGTACACAGCTTTATGTTATAAAAATATTTAATATTTTTAAGATTTTCAAGCGGTTTAAATAGCGTTTATTTGTGAAAATCCGGATTTTCGGATTCTCATCACTAGTTTATACCGGGCTAATACTACTATTAAATCGATTTCAAATGCTTATAAGTTATAAGTATTATTAACGCTTAAGTATTATATGTTTATCCGCAGAGAACTGGGTAAATTGTGCAGTGTGCCACTGAAGTCTGAGCGAGCGTTACGATTGACATTATTGATGAACGACCATTGGTATCTTGAAAGTTATATTAAGCACATGTCCAATACCTTCGGTCCTGAGTTACTATTCATAATACTGGAAATGTACATTCAATTAGTGTTGGCCATGTATATACTTATATGGACCAATATTCTTCACAATGAGCATGTGACTTTCTACAAATGGTTTTTTGCAACCTTGCAGCTAGCATTAGTAGCGGGTAATTTTATTTACTTGTGTTACCGAAGCAGTTCTATTATAAGTGAGGTAATTATCGTTTAAATTATTTACTTAAATTAAAACTATATACCTACATTTTAGTAGTTACTTTAGGTAAATATAAAGGCTTTTGTCCATTTTTTAAAGTTAGAGCGACAATCCTCCATCAAGCCCTCTTAATTTAAGAAAGGCTTTACCCCAACAAATACTTAATCATGAAAAAAGGCTAAGTCCAAACCTCCTCTCAAAATGGTCAGTCTATCAAAGTAGTGATATCTACATTGTGACCAAGTCTGCTCTTTCTATAGAGTTAAGTCCATAACCTCACTTCACTCCTACTTTTATGAGCAACATTGCTCTTCTATTTTTTTTCTTAATACTTGGTCATTTTCTGAATGAGGCATAAAACAAACTTGGTCACAATGTATAGATATCACTACATTGATAAGCTGACTTTTTTGGGAGGGGGTCTGGAACTTGGCCCTCATGGCTAGGTTTTAGTTGCTTTTTGCTGGTTATCAGCATGGTGGGCGTCTTTTTGGTTTTTGCGAGGCACTGGAGGGATTATGTATGTAGTTCGGATGAATGTTAATGCGCGCCACTTCACGAATTTAGAACTATCCTCCCTAAAGCGGAACCAATTTTGAGAAAATTTTAATTTTCAGATATGTTTTCTTTACTTTTGCAATAAGATTTACTTTTGTACTAAATTTTACGTTTCTACCTATACTGGAAAAGCTTTAAAAGTTTGATGATGAGTGTGTCAGTCAATTAGTAAAAAAAATGCTATCTTTGAAGTTCTCCCATTTTGAAAAGGCTTAATGATAAGGGCGCATTTTTTGCAGTGTCATAAGCTACTTAAGCTTAATCTTTGTTTAAAATTTTAAATGCTGATCTAAGAGGAAGCAGAGATATGAGGGTGAGAAAACCCGGGTGAATTGGTTCCTATAAAGGTATACTGGCATTGATAGAACTTGGCTTGGCTTACTGCCGTGCGCTCAGATCATCGTATTATAGTAGTTTATATGAGATAATAATCACCTATGAAATTAATAATATATTTAGTGTGGGTTCAAATCGACATTATTGTTAATAAATTATATCGGAAGTTAATAGAAATTAATAGAAAAATGTATTTATTATATAGAGCCGACAAGTAATTTCTCAACTACAGCATTTGAGAGATAAATTGTACGATGATCCCAAGTGCCAAGCTATTGTAAGTATAAGTAGGATTTTTCATCTTGAGTACTAATAAATAAAATATATTTTCTTAATTTAATATTAAATTTATGTTATCTACCAATATACTAAAAAATCGTTTAGTGGGGTCATAACTTGTTGTTTTTAATGTGTTAAAAGCTGAAAATATTCACACTGCGAGTCAATTGCCGGCAAGTACATGTTTCAGTTTTGAAGCTTTTTGATATAAACCTTCCATTAGTTATTGTTGTAGGTATTTAATTTATTTGCTAATTAATACATGTGTATAATATTTTTAATTAATTATTTTCCCCAGTCAGCAGGCTACGTGCTAACATACTTTTTGGTGCTTATTCAATTTCAAGTAGAAGGTTATAATCGTACACTTAGAGAAATGAATATTAGTGCTATCGTTATTAAAAATTGTAAAGTATGGCCATGTATTACCGATGATGACTAATGTACTAATTGTACTTTAAAAAAAAACTTTGAATTTCATGTAATTATTAAAATACTGTAAAATGTTATATGTTATTATATTTAAGCTATTATTATTGTTTTTTTTTATTAGTTAAATTCATCTATATATCTAATATCTATATTGCTATAAATATTTTTTGTGATTAAAGAATAAATATGTTTATTAAATAATAATAGGGTGATTTCTTCTATGAACAGAGGTTATTACTTTTTTAATCTCATTTAATAGTTTTTTTACCGTGATTATTACAAACAAAAACATTGAGAAAACATTGTTAGATTAGATATAGTTGCCAGACCAGTACTGACGAATCAAATGAGTTAAAGCTATTATTGATTGAAATTCAGTTTACGTCATTTAAGTATACCTATATATAGTACATACGGTGCATAAATATACGATTCATATACTAAAAAAAACCTAATCGTACATGCAATTTTGAGATTAAAATTTGTTTATTTATAAACCCTTTATTCAAACGTATAGTACGTACTCGTATTTAAATGTAAAGAAATGTATAATAATAATTCCAGCTACAAATTTACATAATAATATTTATAAAAGAAAAAAAAATGTATACGAACATACTAGCAAACGACGTACGAATTTTTTTGGTGAAGCAATTAAAACTTGTGTAATTCAATTTTCAAGACTATCCAAAATAATCACTTAATTCTAGTCGGATGTAGCAAGTAGAAATTATTATAAACCAAAACCATACACTATATTCTTAAAAATAAATGACTGCATGATTGACAACGACAATGGCAGTTCGCAAGGTAGGTGCTTTCTCATAAGTAAAAGTGGAATTAAATTTTGGAAGTATTTTCGTTTTTACATTTATTTTTTGCTTGAATTTAAAGTAAAACTTAATTAGTCCCTTGTTTGCTTTTTATTACTCATGTCGTTCCCTTAGGTCACGTCCATTTACAAATTCAATTATACATATTTTATGTTATCATATAAATGTATATATTGTTGAAAAAGTGCTTCAATATCAAAAGTAACAAGAATGTAAATTATCTCGAATTTCAGTGTAAGTTACCAAAAGTTACCTACCACGATGGTGGACGAAGGTTTAACTAAATAAGTTCTAGAAGGTGTTCTAGAATTTTCTAAGGTAAATTTTCCGAAATTTGCTTGCTGACCTCATGGCGTGCAAGCAGTTATCATTGAAAGTGAAAGATTTGATCTCTATCTAAAACAAATTGTCTTTCCTCACTTTTGGCATCACAAATCACGGAGTAATTGAAATGTTACTATATTATTACAAATTGACAAATTAAATACAATCACTTATTAGTTATCACATACTTCATAACCAATGAGAACGGGTCTACATCAATTTAGTAATATTATTTAATATATTATAAGATATACCGTAAGTATTCCGTTATTAATTCTAATGCTCCTAAAGCCTAACACAATTTTAATGTCATTTTGAGATTTAAAATGTATTATATTAAGTACTTCCTTATTTTTTTTTTAATTTTAGAACGAAATGTTTATAATAAACGAATAAATAATAGGTGATGATATCAGATGATGGTATGTGATGACAATATAATTCTAACGTTCGTAAATAGAAAAAAATATTTTCCGTGTTTAATGTTCAAAATGTGATTATTCATTAGTAGTTTTTTTAATGATATTTTATAGGAAACAAAGTAAAAATGATTGATGGAATAACAAATTTATTGAATATTAAATCGAGTTTTTTCAGCAACTATTGTTAAAACACGTCAACACTATTAATTGTTTTTTTTTGTTAGACATTTTTTGTGACATTTTAAGTTTTATTAAAGTGAAATTGGGTCGGATTACTTAACATTAAAGAGTTGTTCGTTGAATACAGTCATTGATCAAACCATGAATAAGCGGTGGAAAATTGGACGTTTGGCTATTTTTGCTCCAGTTTATTACCTTTGTAAAATGTTTGGCGTTTTACCAATCAGTTACTCATACTGTAAAATCGAGAACAATAGGAGTGCGGAAGATTTTTGTGGAAGATTTCATAAGAACAGTAAGATTTTAACAATTGCTTTACCTTTATCTATACAATTATTGCCTGTAACGAATGTTAAATAAATAAATAAATAATTATTAATAGGTTAGGTCTTTTGTACTCAAAAGACTTCCAGCGTTTATCGGTTCGAAAATTGATGTATAAACTCAACAAATCTTTGGTTTTAAATTAATTTTAATGTGAACATGTTCAATTGAAGCTTCTCAAATTAAATTTTAATATCATATTAACTTGTTTAAAAACACAATTTATTTTAAAGCAACATTAGCTTAGATGCGGATTTTAAGGTATTGTTTTAAAATGTGTTTTTATTTTTATAATTTTCTATTTTTGTGTCTAGAACCACACATTATCGTCTGGGCTGCTGAACCTATTTGCTCCATGTAGCACTTTTGTATTCTACTTTATTTTATCTGAATTATATTTTAACGATATTTTTCATAAATAATAGTGCACTTTATAATCATCCTACCATAATATCCGGCTCAACAAGTGATACAGTATTTTACGAAACTCAAAAATGTTCAATAAAATAATTACATATCTTATTTTAGTTACCATAAGTCGATATATCTTTGGTACCGATTGGATCGACTAAAACCAATCAATGGAAATTGAGGAAATACAATTAATAATTATAGAAATATATAAAAGAAAGATCGCAGTATGACATTATTTCCACAAATCAAATTGTACGCGTTTTCCCTAATAAAAAAAAAAAATTAGTTATACTAAAATCTACTTGTTTTTTTATTTATCACAAAAAAACCGAAAACATACAGAAAGAAGTTTTACTTCCCACGTGCATACTCGCAACACAACTCTGGGTTTTAAAAAAATCGTTGATGTAGCTTCAAATTTGTATGGAATATTCTTTAGGATTTCCGTTTGATAAATTATTAATTTATTAGTAAAAACTTATTATGCTACTCTTTTTTATAGGAGACTCGGTAATTCTATGGTTTGGTTTATTATTCTTCTTTTGGATATTTTACAATTAAACAAGGAAAACAAATCAATATAAATCCGTATACTTATAAAGAAAGCGCAATACATTGTTAAGAGTACTGCTTTGTATTCCTACCGAACTATTTAACTATCTTCTAAATCAATTAGTATATAAATGACTATGCAATGGTTTTATTGCAATAAAAACCACTGCTTATATGTAATTTTATCGTATTTGCATCAAATCGTTTATACGAAAAGTGACGTTATCAGTTTTAGTGATGATCTTTTTTAGATACCGGTGACTTCATTACAATTGTATTACTTGTACAACTGTAATAAAATTTAGCATTAAAATTACAATAATAGTATTAATAACACTTTTATTAGACAATAATCACAACGACACTAAACCAATTCAAACAAAATGTATGCAGCAACCCTGCTGTGCTTTATATATTATTTTGTTCCAGTTTTGTTATCATGTAACAAGATAAATCTGTTTTCAGCTAAAAATATACGTTTCAACGTAAACAAATGTGGAATTATTGTTTGGACTGTACAGATGGCCGTACAACTGTGGACATTTTACGGGATGTCACAAATAATACTATTGTCATTCGCTGGTAAAAAAAAAGTTATTTGCTCGTTGGACAACTTTTGCAGTGCGCTTGCTGTGCTGATCTCGCATATGATGATCAGTCCTATAGTGATAATTTTGGCCGCGTTTCGGCTGAAAAAAACCGTCCGTTGCGTAAACATGACAGCAACTCTATTGCTACGAAATCGTTACTCGCGTGGTCTGCCCATTGCCACGTTTGCCGTACTGGCGTTTATCATCTCTCTTATAATCAAAATATTAGCATCGTCATTGTTTTCTAAAATATCATATCCTTTTGTTTATTATACTTTTTACGTAGCTTACACGTGTCCTATGTTGATCGTTCATTTAATCAGCGTTATGTGTTTGGTTTCACAGTATTCGCATGAAGACATTAACAGGTAATATATAATATTTGGCAACGTTATTACAAAATATACGCTTGTCATTAGTATTTAGTAGGGATCGTAAAAAATCCTTAAATAACAAAATAGTCATTAGGAATTAATATTTTTCGTCCATACCATAGCTGTACTTATTTCCAGTATCTTTTAACGGGGTGGGCATAATTTTTTTTTCTGGTCATTATTTTAAATTTATAGATATCTTTTTAGGTTTGGATCAGTTCGATTTTGATATTAATTATTAATTAATAAATACGAGTAAATAAATAGTAAATGTTAGGTCAAACAAAAAGAAATATTGGGGTTAGGTTTAAAGAACACATAAGGAACATCAAAAACCAAGAAGTACACAAATCTCCTGTTGCGGAACATTTATTGGACACTAATCATAGTATCAAATCAGTAAAATTACTAAAAAATGTAAATAACTCTAAAGAACTTAATATTAGGGAAGCAATAGAAACGTTAAAAAATAGGACAAATTTGTTAAACTGGGACTTAAGTCCATTACAAAACATTTTATTAAAATTTATAAAATGTGTTGACAAATGAGTCATCATTTCCGGTGTGACGTCACACCCGGTATAATGACCTTGTATATATGTATAGAGGGAGATGTTCGCCCGTAATCGGTCTCAGTCTGTTGTTAGCGCTGAAGATGACAACATCGTTGTCGTAACACGTGTACGCAAGAAGTGTATAATTTTTATGGTTTAGGGTTCAAGTAGATTTTATATCTTTACTATATATATTTAACCATAAGTTTGCTTAACAGTTTTTTCTAGATTAACACGAGTAAATAAATTTTGTATTTTATGGTATCAAAATATGTTAATAATCCCTGGCTGTTCTTCTTGTGCAATGTTATATTAATAGTTTTAAGTAACTCTAAATACTATAAAAATAACAGAATTTCACAAATTAATTATATATATATATATAATTATTGTTTCATAGGGAAATGGAAGAAATATGCATATTGAAGTCGCAGTCTGAACGGGCATTCCGACTGACATCCTTGATGAACGATCATTGGTTTCTTGAAGATTACATTGAACACATATCCAACACGTTCGGATATGAATTATTTGTCATCTTGCTGGACATTTACATTCAGTTATTGTTATGTGTGTATATGTGTGTATGGGATTATATTGTTCGCAGTACGAATCAAGACGTTTATTCAGTCGTTAGTTTGTTGTTGCACATATGCATAGTATCAGGAAATTTGTTTTATTTGTGTTATAGATGCAATGCTACAGTCAAAGAGGTAACATTAAAAAATAACAAAATAATAATATTAAATTCATAGTACGTTAAGTTTAGTTGCATTTCGGAATAAAAGTGAACTTTTAAGATGGAGGATCAAAAAATTATAATAAATATTATTCAGGAATTCGTTAACAGTTGAGAATTGATAACCTGGTTTTTTTCAAGTCTGGTAAAACTTTTGTTTGCTCAATATTTAGGCCGCCGTCGTTTATTTTAGTATCGGACACTATAAACGTTGTACAGAAGGCTATACAATTATTAAAAGTCTAAATAATAAGCATAATCGTTTAGCAACAGACTAATTGGTAATAAAGGAAAAGTACAAAGATTATTTTTATTTTCTATAACATAAAAAAGGCAGACAAAAGGATTACTAACATGTTTAGAGTTAATACCATTAAAATTGACATGTATTCTTATTCATTCGACTTTATATTTATTATAGATTTAAATTAAAATAATGTTTTTTTTTTCAATTTAGAGTAGACAGGTGATTTCAAAACTACATCATTTAAGAGACGTATTGAACAATGATTCCATTTGTCAAGCTCTTGTGAGTAATTCATATTTATCGGTAGTAATTAGTGTATTCCTAATACATAATGTGAGTCAGAAAGATTTGACAATATTGATATAACTTTATTGAAAATAGATACTACTCAATAAAGTTTCTTGTCTAAATCAAATATATGTTGAAATCGTAAAAAAATGTAATACCTACTAACAGTCCAATTGTATTTATTATTAACGTACTTGCAGTTAAAAGTATTCACACTCCGAGTCAATTGCCGAGAAGTTCATCTTACAGTATTGAAATTATTTAATATAAATTTACCACTACTTTTATGTGTGAGTATTAGTGTCAGTGTTCAGTATTATTTGTATGTATACAATTAACGTTCATACTTACCTATGTTCTTTAGTCAGCTGGCGTTGTGTTTACATACTTTTTGGTGCTTATTCAGTTCCAAATAGATGGTTACAAAGAAATATTAAAAGAACAGAATATTAGTGACGTTACGAATACGCAGTGTAAATCATGGCCTTGTGTCAAAAAAGAATGATTCTACAATATTAAGGCTTATTGACTTATATTAGTAGAACAAACATGAAAAATCTTATCATCATATTTTATCAAGTTATACTGTTAATCAAAATGCATGTTTTTTACTAATTAAGTATACTTATATATATGCAAATATACTTTTGTAATATTGATTTACATTTTTAACACGTTTTTATGAATTCCCTTTCTTGTATGTTCGGTACAAATTTTATTTTTTATACTAAAAGTAAACTAGTATAGGAAGTTAAAAGAAATACCAGGTACACATTTTTGTTGGAGATATAATATTTTTTGATTTGTTGGTAATACATTATTATACAAATATTGTTTAGAAATTTACATTATATAGAAATGATTATTTATCATAGTTTTTGTTTTTAAGTATTATGATAAGTTAAAATAAAAACATTGATTCGCTGTCAGGTGTCTGTATACAAGATATACAGCAATATTGTGTTTTGGTCTTTAGAAAGTGATTGTCATAGCATTATAAAAACAATGTGGCAACAAAATATTTTAGTTGTTTTCAGAAAATAATGAGTATAGAAATGTATTGTACTAGCCCGTATGTATTAACCATTGGTTTACTAACGACATGCGTTTCAAGTTGGGTCCATTAGCTATTTTAGCTCCAATATATTATGTAAGTAAAATATTTGGTGCTCTACCAATTAAATATAGGATTGGCAATGAAAATAGGTTTATCATAAAATCAGATCAATTTCAAGGAAAGAAACATGGAAAATGTAAGTATTTACAAAACAAAAAATTAGAATAATTTTTAAATATCTTTATGGTACTTGATTCTTATAGGTCTGGTGTAAATGTATGATCTAAACTATTTAATTGTCCATTAACATACCATTAATAATACAACGCAATTACAAAAAATTAGATCAATGATGTTATTAATTTGAATAACTACTCGTTATACATTAGTAATCCTGATTATTAGTGAATAGTTAAAATCTCATGAATATAAAAGAAATTTACAGAATAATTATGCTGTTACAACAGTTATTTAAAATTTTTTTTTTTTAGTAATATACGCCAAATGGCTTTTTATAATTGTGTTACAGACATTAAGTGACATTAAAAATACATAAATTAACTAAAAAAAAGTCAGTACAGTGGGTTAGGGGCATAGTGGTGACGGAGAGGTCACAGGTCTACAGATTTTATTATAACAGAAAGTGATAAAATCACTTTAAAATAAACGCTTCGATGCGAATCTGTGGATAGTACTTATGTTCAAACCAGTTATAGCGGTTTAGAAGATTTCGTGGGACCAGTAATAATGTACTTAAAATTTAATATTTAGTCTTGTGCAGGGTGGATACAATATGGGTTGATCGTCTGTCTATAAAAATGTGCTGTCATAGTGACCCATATATCATAATTAACAATATAAAAAAATTATTTTCATTACCTGTTGACTGTTGATTCACTCACACATAGCAACCTAGAAACTGACTACGGCCAAAGTGTAAATTTACCCTATTTTTGGTGTTTTTCCTTAATAAAAAAAAAAATTGACTATAGATTTTTTAGAATATTGTGTATGTTATAGTTCCATTTTAGTTCTACCTTAGGTCTAACTTCCTGATCTAAAACTCTAAAACTTTGCTTGAAAAAGTGAAATAAAGAAAAAAATTCTATCCCTTCTAGGGTTTTGTCATTGTTTGTTAATAGTACTATGTTTGAAGAACAATTCGTATAAATTTGGAAGTTTTTCGACTATTTTTAAAAAAAGTTATAGAGCATCGTAGTTTTAAGTTAAAAAATTTGTACATTTTTTGGGTGTTTTTCTCGATTTTGATAGGGAAGGGGTGACTTTTAAATTGTTTGGCCTATTAAAGTACCTTTCAGGTATGATTTCTGATCTATAGAACTGCTACACAAATAAATCGGTTCAGCAGTTTAAGAGATATCGTTGGTCCAGACACAAAAAAAAAAAATAATAATAATAAAAACACATCATTGTAAAAACAATAACTTATCAGCTCCGCACCGAAGCTAAAATATATTTATATAAGTATACATATTAAAAAAGTAAAGAAACGAATGGTGTGGCCTTAATACGAATTATATACATTATACATCATTATAAATTTCCATCATACGATTTAGAGGTGCATTTTTGGTAAAATTAGATCTGATAATTGAAATGTAAAAAAAAATGTTTGAGCCTGGTGTTGGTCGGGACGCGAATGCTCAGCTGTTGCAAACGGCGAGGGGCATCAATTCAGCCATTTAATAAACCCAAAATAAAGCGAGAGCTGAGGTCATTGCGCCGTTGTTCTAGTGATTGTAGTCTAAAAACGTTATTAATGGGGCTGTAGTCATGAAGTGGGTGCAAGATTTTTAGGCAGTAACCTACAATTTTATTTAATAATTCGATATAAACATGTTAGACACCCTATGTAGACAGTTCTAAAGACTATAACTGATTATTGGATGTATCTACATTTTGTTTTCAGCTCATGACGTGAGTTTCCACATAAGCACAGGTGGTGTTATTATTTGGGTCATGATGTTCAGTCTCCAGATATGGACATTTTTTCAAATGATGTGTTACTTGGCCGAAGCCTTGATGCAGAGAAAGCACCTTGATTGTTCGGCGGACAGCTTTTGCAGTCTTTTCGCGGTGCTATCGACACATTCAGTTATAAGTCCGCTAATAGTTTTCGTGACGGTGTTTCGACTGCGAAAGACCGTTAACTGTTTTAATATGACCTCCATGATCTTACTCCGATGCCGTTATCCACGCAGCCTGTCAATGAATGCGTTTGTGATTTTAGCCTTCTTGGTTATATTTCTAGGCCAGACTATTTCGGCCCTACTAAATTTTCCCAAGGTAAAAGCAGATCTTTTTTTCCCATTCTTCATTGGCCACTTGTCACCTTTAATTCTCGTCAATGTCATAAGCATACTGTGTTTGGTCACTCAACACGCGTACGAGGACATAAACAGGTAAATAAGTTAATACAGAATATCTGACTATTTTTCCATTTTTAAGAGAATCGTAAGATTTAAAGAATTAAAGTTCAGCACTATTTCCAGAAAATTGTATGTAAATTATTTTTTGTCGTCCATAATTAGCCCTTAAAAATAAGGAAATTATGTGTATTAAACTAAAAACATTTCCTCTTTTCAGAAAAAGTTTAGGGTCGGATTATGAGGTTTTAATAATTTTGTTTTTACTTAGAATGGAATTGAGGGGCAGCATAATTGAAATTCGAATAGACTTAAATATTATGGAATTATTTCAGGGAATTGGAGGAACTGTGCCACGTTCAATCAAAATCCGAACGAGTATTGCGACTATCAGCGTTAATGAATGATCATTGGTTTTTAGGAGATTATGTAGAAAATTTGTCAAATACATTCGGACCCGATTTAATGTTTGTTATGATGCATACTTACGTACAAATGCTACTGTTTTTATATCTCATTATTTGGGAGATTATGATTCGTGAAGCACACATAGTAAAAGGACACAGTACCGGGCAGATATTATTTAACATAACCAAATTGTTGTACCTGTGCTATAGATGTGGTTCGCCAATTAAAGCGGTAGATAGCATATTTTTTTTTGAAATTTATTTAATAATAAAAAAATATATATATATTTTCCACAATTATAAAATTAATGCAATATCATGTTGTATTTTTATTTTGACAAGAATGTATTTACTCAGTTTATTAAAGACCATTACAAACCTTAGTATACTATTTATACTAATAGGTTTTTTGAGATTATTTTTAATTATTTGAACTTAAGTTCCTTTTAACCCACTTCTGGCCAATTGTACGTACGCGCACCATAAAATAAATACATCCTTGACCGGAAATGGGTTAATTTGTGTAATCTCCACATCAGGTGATAAATATATCGTTAGCTTTGTTTTTTTTGATATAAATATGGTTGATTACAGATCTTATTGACATTTTTTTAAATACCAAAATTAGTAATAGTTTTAATGTAATTTTGTTTTTAGAGCGAACGAACAATTTTTCACTTGCAACACTTGAGTTTCTCTCTTAATAACGAGTCTGCTAGTCAATCGATCGTAAGTATAATTGTTATACGAGTACTTACAAAAAATTAGGTTTATGTAGAAAATGAAAAAAAAAATAAAAATGTACAACACCCACAGCTCAAGATTTTTACAATTCGCGTTAACGGACGACAGGAGAGGGTGACTGCTTCAGGGTTCTTCGACATAAATATGGCACTTGTATGTAAAGTAAGTTAGAAACAAACATTTTAAAAATAAACATTTAACCGTGTTGACATAATACATATTGCACAAATTCAATTTTAATAATACACAAAAAGTGATTTAGTGTGATAATGATGATAATGTTTTAGTTTAACTGTATTTTACCGTTATCAAATTCAAAAAAAAAAAATATATATATACGTATGTCGTAAGCCTTTTGAGCTATGTTTGTAACTCCAAAATGCCATATTACATACTAAAAGAAAAAAAATATTGATTTATTTTATTTATTAATTACTTACATTTCATATATCATACATTTCATGGAAAAAAAACATTGAAATATTGGAATAATTGAATTTTTTTTGAATTGGGGTATAAAACAAATTTTGTTTTCATGGTAAATTTGATTTTGATAAATGTTTAATATGACACACAACTTACCTTTTAATACTAAAACATTTGTACAAATACATCTGTAGACGATCCAACAATTAAGTAATAATTGTTATGGTACTGACAACCTAAATTGTATCTATATTATGTTTATAGACAGGAGGAGTTGTGCTGACGTACTTTTTGGTGCTTATACAAATTCAATCAGAAAACTACAAATATTCGATCATAAGTAACATTAATACTTCATCAGCACCGTGCGAAATATGGCCTTGCCTTATAAAAAATATTTGAGTAAAATAAATATATTATTTTATCAGATTCGTTTTAAGATTTATGTCAATCTAAAATTATAAAAAATGTATTATTTTTATAGCGTACTTTTATATAGAAGATATTAATCATTGTGCATATTAACAGAACTAAATTATTGTAGTGTTAAAATAAAGGAAATAAATAACAAAAATGAGTTGATCAAGTGCTTATAAAAATACCGTATGAAACTTTTGCTGAGCCATCATATTATCTAAAAAGGCTATAAAAAAAAACTTAGTCACAAAACAGTTCAGTCTCTGTACAGTAAGTCTCCAAAGGCGGTCTATGAAATTCTGCTATGTCAGAGTAGAACTGTGAATATGTTGATAACTACGATACATAGCTAAGAGCAACAGTGATTAACAAAAATGTACAGCAATATTTCTCCTAACAGTTTAATATAGAAAAATGTCTATATTGTTGTATGGGTACAAATTCTATTATTCAATTTAACTCCTTCTGTTCTCTAAACACAGAGATAATAGTGTAATTTATTTCTAGAAAATAGTCCATAATTTTTTTGTATTTATATTTTACAATCTTATACATTTAATAGTAATGTTTTTTTTTGTTTTAGTTATATTGAAAATTCATTTTTAGTTAACAGATATTGTTTAAAAAAGTGTTAAGTTTATTCATCGACTATAATAATAAAACATGTATTCACTGTCAGTTGACTGTATACAAGATATCAAGGTATTGTGTTTGGGTCTTTAGGAAGTGATTGACATAGCATTGTAAAAGACAATATGACAACAAAACATTTTTGTTTAAACTACGACTAGTATAAATAATGTTTGATCTAACATCATGATTATTTAATGATCTTTTTGGGGAATAATATGAATAGAAAATAATTATTATTTAAAAGACTTATTGTATTAGTGACCATCAGTCACTAACTAACGACATGCGTTTGAAGTGGGGTCCGTTAGCTATTATAGCTCCAATATATTATGTAAGCAAATTATACGGTACTTTGCCAATTGGTTATACAAATTACTGTGAAAATAAGCTTACCAAAAAATCGGAGTATTTTCGAGGAAAGACAAATGGAAAATGTAAGTTTTTACAAGACATCAAACTAGATTTAATCGTAAATATCTTTATGGTATTGTTAAACGTCTCATGTTTTATGCTAACACAAAATGTTTGGAAATCAATTAGAAGAAACCTGAGTATAGATTTTAATATTGTACTTCATTCTTATAGGCATAGTGTTAATTTATGATCAAAGGTATGAGTGGGTTATTGAAAAATCACCATGGTTTCTCACATATATAAAAGAACTGGCTGGATATAAAAGAAACTAGCATTTACAAAATTGCTTTATTTGACTCTAAATATTGGTCCCAAATGTTTAAAATTTAGACTCATGAATAACTTTAATTTTTTGTGCTTTACTATTAATTATTATTATAATTCTTATACATAGATAACTAGACAATATTCCTAATATCTTTATGGTACTGCTATATACATCTCATTTGTCTTTAACAAGATTTGTATAAATCAATAAGAACAAACCTGAGTATTATCTAACCTGAGTATTACTATATAGATTTTAGAATTGTAAATACTTGAATTTTATAAGCATGGTGTAAATTTATGATCCAAACAATTTAATGAACAAATAGAGCAGGTTATTGTAAAATCATCTTGAAATACGTTTTAACAAATTTATTCTAATTACACAAAATGATATCAAAGATATTATTAATTTGAATAACTAATATATTAGTAATCCTGATTATTAGTGAATAGATAAAATCACATGAATATAAAATGAAATTAAAGAATAATTCTGTTGTTACAACTCACACTGTTACAAAAGTTATTTTACTTAATAATCAAATTCATAATTGTGAGACACCTATGAAAATAATTATTATAAAAATTATTACTGATTATTGGATTTGTCTATAATTTGTTTTAGCCCATGACGTACGTTTCAACATAAGCACAATTGGTATTTTTATTTGGGCCACGATGTTCAGTCTCCAGATGTGGTCATTTTTTCAAATGATGCGTTACTTGGCCGAAGCGTTGACGAAGAGAAAGCAACTAGGTTGTTTGGTAGACAACTTTTGCAGTATTTTCGGGTTGCTATTTTCACGTTCGTTAATAAGCCCACTAATATTTTTTATGACGTTGTTTCGACTGCGGAAGACCGTTAACTGTTTTAATATGACCTCCATGATCTTACTCCGATGCCGTTATCCACGCAGCCTGTCAATGAATGCGTTTGTGATTTTAGCCTTCTTGGTTACATTTCTAATCCAGACTACTTTGGCCCTATTGAGTTTTCCCAAATTAAACACAGATCTGTTTTACCCATATTTCATCAGCCATTTGTCACCGTTAATTCTCATCAATCTCATAAGCATACTGTGTTTGGTCACTCAACACGCGTACGAGGACATAAACAGGTAAATATGTGAATACGAAATATGTGACTATATTCCATTTTTAAGAGAATCGTAGGATTTTAAGAATTATAGTTCAGCACTAATCCCGGACAATGGACCTGTATATTATATGAAATTATTTCAGGGAGTTAGAGGAACTGTGCCATGTTCAATCAAAACCCGAACGAGTATTGCGACTATCTGCGTTAATGAATGATCATTGGTTTTTAGAAGATTACATAGAAAATTTGTCGAATACGTTCGGACCTGATTTAATGTTTGTCATGGTGGAAACTTACTTACAAATGTTGCTTTTTTTATATATCATGATTTGGGAGGCTATAATTCGTGAAGTACACATTGTAAAAGGGCACAGTATCGGACAGCTGTCTTTTTGCATAGCAAAATATTTGTACTTGTGCTACAGATGTGGTTCGCCAATTAAAGCGGTAGATAGCATTTATTTTTTAGTAATTTATTTATTAATAAAAAAATATATATTTTGCGCAATTATAAAATTAGTGCAATATCATGTTGTATTTTTATTTTGACAAGAATGTATTCACTCAGTTCATTAAAGACCATTAGTATAAACAAACCTTAGTATACCATTTATACTAATACGTTTTTTGAGTTTATGTAAATCACCAATTTAAACAGTAGATAGCATTTACAAACCTTAAAACATGTTATATGCTTAGTACTTGGTATGTTTTTTGAGTATTTAGACCATTCTAATATCATGTCTGATTACATATCTTATTGACATTTTTTTAAATACCAAAATTAGTAATAGTTTTAATGTAATTTTGTTTTTAGAGCGAACGAACAATTTTTCACTTGCAGCACTTGAGTTTCGCATTGCATAGCGAGTCTGCTAGTCAATCGATCGTAAGTATAGTTGATATACGAGTACGTACGAGACATTAGGTTGACGTACACAATTTAAATAAAAAATACAAATTTAAAACACCCACAGCTCAAGATTTTTACAATTCGCGTTAACAGACGCCTGGAGAGGGTGACTGCTTCAGGGTTCTTAGACATAAATATGTCACTTGTATGTAAAGTAAGTTTAAAACGAACATTTTTTTAAAATAAACAATGAACCATGTATGAACTAGGCCACTCCTCATCCTATTGATTTAGTACAATATCGATGTTTTAATATATTTATATTTTTCTATGTATACAGTGTAAATTAAATTGTATCAGTAGATTTTTAATCCTTAGAGCCGTTATTAAGTTTAAAAAAATATATTTATATATATATATAATTATTTTTTTAATTGAGGTATAAAACATATTTTTTCTCATAGTAATTTTTTTGGTTTGATGTCAAATATGGCACACAACTTACCTTTTGATATTAAAACATTTGTAGACATACATCGGTAGACGCTCCAACATATTAAGTAATAATTGTTATGATACTGCCTACCTACATTTTATTTGTATGTTTATAGACGGCAGGAGTTCTACTGACGTACTTTTTGGTGCTTATACAAATTCAATCAGAAAACTACAAATATACGATCATAAGTAACATTAACACTTCGTCAGCACCGTGCGAAATATGGCCTTGCCTTATAAAAAATAATTGAGTAAAATAAATATATTATTTTATCAGATTCGTTTTAAGATTTATGTCAATCTAAAATTATAAAAAATGTATTATTTTTATAGCGTACTTTTATATAGAAGATATTAATCGTTGTGCATATTAACAGAACTAAATTATTGTAGTGTTAAAATAAAGGAAATAAATAACAAAAATGAGTTTATCACATGTATAAAAGAATATCTAATGAAACAATATTACTTAATAATTATTTGTGATTCATACAAATAAAAAATGGGTATTTTTTGATATAATATGTAATTAAATTGGTTTTAAAGCAATTTAATTTTAACTGTTTTTGACTTACATAAGAGGTCCTATTAGTATTTTAATTTCAAATAGTCGCAGACCAGTCATGTGAAAATTAAATTTTGTAAATTTTTGTCTACTTTCACCATTTTGAACTGTTTTGTTGCATTTACAAAAACAGATTTTGCTTCTATCGTATTAAAATTTAAATTAAAAAAAATGTATTTTTAATAAATAATAGTTAATACTAAATATTTAATACTATTTAGTTATAATAATAGTCGGCTAACTAAAAAAGTATTGGAATTTATCTATTATGTAGAGTAAAACTAAACTTTTACGGGTATAACTAATAAATCGTATAATTATGATTCTTTATATTAACTTATACTATAAAAGCATACCTATATTGCTTTCTATATAGATTTCTATGCAATTAACCTGATAATTGCAATTTGCACCTTATAAGCGGCAAAAAAAAAATTTAACTAAAAATAAATACGTTACTAATATGAGAGTATCTTAAAATTAAAAAAATTTAAATAAAAGGTACAATTAAAATGGGGTCGTCTCCGAAATAGAACCCTTGGGAAAGGAATAAAAATCCTACCCCTGTTCAAAACTTACGAACTTTGGCGCCTCCACCAAGTTGTTACGGTACAATGCGGTGAGTGGATCACACCCACGACTGTCCGCCTTCTAAGGCTAAATTAAGGGACCCTAGCCGGGACAAGAAGCTACCCTCCTGTATCTGCCCTAAAATACCCCTAGAGACTCTTTGTAAATTTATGTAATCGCCCAAAAAAGCAAAAGGCCGGTCGTACCTTTAAGTAAATAAACAAAACTCTCAAGTAGCAACGTACAATATTTTACAATTAAAAAGGCTTAACGCCGGTTAAGAATTTAGTTATTGATTAAAATATTAAAATGACTAAAACAATATGTATAAATATATATATATAAAGGTTTACACCCGTAACCTGGTCCGTGGAAATCCGGAGTTAGAACAGGTGGAGTGACACGCACAAAGAATATAAATAAGGTGCCGAATAATTAAGTAATTATAAAATAAGATATTAGCGCGTAGATGGTAAGATGTCAACTAATTAGTATATAGGTGGATGCGAATACTGTCCATTAGCGTGAGTCGCGTCACTCCCTCTCATCTAGTTATTATACAACTAGATTATTTAACAACTTTTTCCTTGACATTCCAACATACGTATTTATATTACAATGATAAACATCATGTTATTATTGTGATTAATATTCTTAATGTATATATTTTTTTCTTTAAACAGATTTTATTTAGACGTTTTTGTTTCCTAAGCTTCGATAACTTTTACCATTAGATGATAGAATTGTGGATAAGTATTTGATTGATTTGTTGGTTGGTCTATTTTGGGTTGGTTTTGGTTGGGTTTGTGTAGTAGTGGAACACGTGTGTTGGGAGACACAGCATGGGTGGACGCTAAATCCCGGATGGTCAACCATCCGAGATCAGGCAGCTTTAGACACAGTTTAACCTCAGATGCCGCATGACAACAGACATGCCCACTGTGCAACACCACGCCCCTTATTTTTAGAAATTTATAATGCATATATATGTAAAGTTTATTCATTGAGTATTACAATACAAACATAGATTGACTGTCAGGTGACTGTATACAAGATATCAGCGATATTGTGTTTGGGTCTTTAGGAAGTGATTGACATAGCGTTAAAAAACAACGTGGCAACAAAATATTTTAGTTGTTTTCAGAAAATAATGAGTATAGAAATGTATTGTACTAGCCCGTATGTATTAACCATTGGATTACTACTAACGACGACAAAACATTTTTGTTTAAACTACGACTAGTATAAATAATGTTTGATCTAACATCATGATTATTTAATGATTTTTTGGGGGAATAATATGAATAGAAAATAGTTATTATTTAAAAGACTTACTGTATTAGTGACCATCAGTCACTAACTAACGACATGCGTTTGAAGTGGGGTCCGTTAGCTATTATAGCTCCAATATATTATGTAAGTAAATTAAGCGGTGCTCTACCAATTAAATATGAGAATAAAAATGAAAATAGGCTTATCATAAAATCAGATCAATTTCAAGGGAAAAAACATGGAAAATGTAAGTATTTATAAAACAAAAAACTAGACAATTTTTTAAATGTCTTTATGGTACCGTTAAACGTATCATTTGTCTGCATCAACATTCTTAGAAATCAATTACAACAAACCTAAAAAAATAAAAAAAATGTTTTATTTATTTTTTATTTTATTTTACAACAAACCTGAGTATAGATTTTAGAATTGTACTTGATTCTTATAGGTCTGGTGTAAATTTATGATCCAAACTATTTAATGGACAAATCGAGCAGGTTATTGTAAATTCACCTTGAATTACGTTTTAACAAATAAAACGTAATTGCACAGAATGAGATCAAATATGTTATTGATTTGAATAACTAATACATTAGTAATCCTGATTATTAGTGAATAGATAAAATCACATGAATATAAAAGGAAATTAAAGAATGATTCTGTTGTTACAACTCACACTGTTACAAAAGTTATTTTACTTAATAATCAAATTCATAATTGTGAGACACCGTGTAATTCTATATGATTATGACTGATTATTGGATTTGGCTACAATTTGTTTCAGCTCATGACGTACGTTTCAACATAAGCACAATTGGAATTATTATTTGGGCCATGATGTTCAGTTTCCAGACATGGTCATTTTTTCAAATGATGTGTTACTTGGCCGAAGCCTTGATGAAGAGAAAGCCAATAGGTTGTATGGTGGACAACTTTTGCAGTGTTTTCGTGTTGCTATTTTCACGTTCGTTAATAAGCCCACTAATATTTTTTATGACGTTGTTTCGACTGCGGAAGACCGTTAACTGTTTTAATATGACCTCCATGATCTTACTCCGATGCCGTTATCCACGCAGCCTGTCAATAAATGCGTTTGTGATTTTAGCCTTTTTGGTTATATTTCTAGGCCAGACTATTTTGGCCCTACTGAGTTTTCCCAAGTTAAACACAGATCTGTTTTTTCCATACTACGTCGGCCATTTGTCACCGTTAATTCTCGTCAATCTCATAAGCATACTGTGTTTGGTCACTCAACACGCGTACGAGGACATAAACAGGTAAATAAGTTAATACAAAATACTATTTATGACTATTTTCTATTTTTAAGAGAATCGTAGAACTTAAAGAATTAGCTAACTTAACTCTCGACCATTTCATATATCATTTTTTTTATTGTTGAAAGTAAGCCCTTAAAGTAAAATAATCACATAATACAGGAAAATTATAAGTATTTTAAACTAAAAACAGTTTTCTTCGTTCCGGTAAATAATTTGAATCTGAATAAGAAGTTTAAATTTAGCTAAATAATTATTTACCGGAATGGAATAGAAGGGCACCATAATTGAAATACGAATGGCCTTATATATCATATGGAATTTTTTCAGGGAATTAGAGGAACTGTGCCACGTCCAATCAAAATCTGAACAAGTATTGCGACTATCGGCGTTAATGAATGATCATTGGTTTTTAGAAGATTATGTGGAAAATTTGTCTAATACGTTCGGACCGGAATTAATGTTTGTTATGATGGATACTTATATGCAAATGTTAGTGTCTTTATATGTCATGATTTGGGAGTCTATGATTCGTGAAGTGTCCATAATAAAAGGATACAGTGCCGGACAGCTTTTTTTTAGTATAGCTAAATTTTTTTACTTGTGCTACAGATGTGGATCGCCAATTAAAACGGTAGATAGCATATTTGTATGTACATTCTTTATTAATAAAAAAAAAAAAATTATAATAAAACTTAATACAATATCAAGTTGTAAAAATAATATTTTCATTTTGACCACGTTAATGTATTTACTCAGTTATTTAAACACCATTACAAACTTCATTATACGATAAATATATGTTTATTTAATTTAAATATGGCTCATTGACATTATTATTAAATACTACAATCAGTGATAGTTTTATCGTATTTTTGTTCTTAGAGCGAACGAACAATTTTTCACTTGCAGCACTTGAGTTTCGCATTGCATAGCGAGTCTGCTAGTCAATCGATCGTAAGTATAGTTGATATACGAGTACGTACAAGACATTAGGTTGACGTACAAAATTTAAATAAAAAATAAAAATGTACAACACTTACAGCTCAAGATTTTTACAATTCGCGTGAACAGACGCCAGGAGAGGGTGACTGCTTCAGGGTTCTTCGACATAAATATGTCACTTGTAAGTAAAGTAAGTTTGAAATGAACGTTTTTAAATAAAAAATAAACAGTGTCAACATAATACACATTTCACAAATTTTAATTTATTGTAATTGAAGGGGTCAGTGGATAAGGTTTTAACTGACATTTTCGAAATTGTTAAGAAACGCTACTTTTATAACAAAATATTAAAAAACTATGGAACTTTTTCGATATTCAATATTTGAAATAACTATGTAATCATGAACCAAAACCTTTTCCGGCTGACATAATGTTTTTATTACACTATAACATTTTTGTGCATGCAATAATATGCATACACCTAGATCCACTGACCTCTTCAATTATGATAATGTTTTATTATGACTGTATTTCACTTAGTGTACAGTTTAAATTAAATTGTATCATAAGATTTTTAAAGTTTCAAAGAATTTTTATTTATATTTGCTTTTATCGTTAGAGCCGTTATTAAGTTAAAAGACACATATATATGTATATAAGTATATATTTGAACTGGGGTATAAAACATATTTAGTTCTCATGGTAAATTGTAATTGGATTGATGTCAAATATGACGCACAACTTACCTTTTAATATTGAAACATTTGTACACACACTTCAGTAGGTGCTCTAACATATAAAGTGATAACTGATAACCGATAACCGTTATGTTATGTTTATTTCACTGGACCACAAGTGTTTTGGTGCAGCCTACCTACATTTTATTTGTATGTTCATAGACAGCAGGAGTTGTGCTGACGTACTTTTTGGTACTTATACAAATTCAATCGGAGAACTACAAATTTTCGATCAAAAGTAATGTTAACACTTCAGCTGTACCGTGCGAAAGATGGCCTTGCCTTATAACAAAGACTTGAGCAAAATAGATATATTATTAGATTCCTTTTAAGATGTATGGCATTCATTACTTAGCTTTGTAGCGTATTTTTATTTAGATGAAATTTATCATTGTGCATATTAACAAAACTACATTATTGTATGTTTAAATAAAGCAAAAAAATTATAAAATCGAGTTGATCACATGTATAACATAATACATAAAGAAACAATATTATGTAATAATTATTTGTGGCCAATACACATAAAAAAGGTTATTTTTTGATATAATAAGTAACTAAAAATTATTTTAAGATCTTCAACAGAAATAAACTTAATTATGACCATTTTTTACTTACTTATGAGGTCTTAAAGTACTTTTATTACAAATTGTTGTAGAACCAGTCGTATATGGGTACTCAGTTTTGTAAATTTTTGTCTACTTTCGTTATTTTGAATTGTTTGGTTGCAATTTCAAGAATTGAAATAATTGTATATATTACCGGTTTAAACTAAAATCCTTACACCCTAAACGAAAATTGTATAGAAATTATAATAACACTCCAACGTTTAGATATATTCTTGACAATTGTTATAAAATATAATTTCATTTACACAATTTCAATTACATATTATGTATTATATACACGTTTTCGTAGATTTATGTATTTTAAAAATGTATATTATTTACAAAAGTTTGCAGGTGTTCAGCTTTTACTGTTTTGGGCATTTTATAGGTCACAAGTTGTAGAACTGATATTGTATGAATAAAAGCAAGTCTGTCTTCAAATGGCACGTAGTAACAACATAGTTCAGTGTAGAATTGTGAATATGTAAATAACCATGATACATAGCTAACAGCAACAATGATTAACAAAAATTAACAGCAATATTACTCCTAACATTTTAATACCTTGCCATAACTTTTAAAAATGACTTGGTATATAATAAAAAATATGTTTTGTTTATACACAAAATTGGTATACTATCACAAGACAATTTCTTGTAATCAAATACGGTGCGATAAAGAAATTTACTCAAATCTCGGTCATCCTAATAACGTTAAGAATACGAATTACGATATTTTGATAACTATGACAATACGTTTTTATAGACAGACGATCAAGCCTAATCAAATCCATCCTAATAGTAACAATTAATTTTCAACCACAAAATGTGTATGCTCTTCTAAAGTACGTACTTGTATAAAATATTTAAATACTTATTTAAAATACAATTTTTTTCTGATACCTTTAGCTAACTTATAAATTGTATATTTTTATTTTCTAACAGAGTGATAATGTAAGTAATTACACGATTGATATTATTTGACTAGGAAAATTAGTAGTCAAAATTAACATTACGCTATTATGTTATCAACTTTAAATTATTGTTGAGAAATTTATAGTTAGTTTGGAGGCTAGTCTCCTATAACTTCAATATCACTTGAACCATTACAACTTTTTTAATTATTTCAAAACTATATTCCCAAATGGTTTAGAGTTTTCATGGTTTCTAATATAGGCTGTAATTTATATAAACGTATACAAATTGAAAATATCTACAATATTACTAAGTATAATTTATACTTTTAATTGGAAACAATTTTTGTATTTATTAAAATTGTATGTATTATGTACTTTTTTGTGATTTGAATATCTACATAGTTCATTTTCACGGTTTTTTTTCCATACTATTGTGCTATTTCTGATTTGACCATACATTGTACTTTTGTAAGTGTTGACACACATTATTCAAGCCAAATACAAAACAATAAAATAGACAAAAGAAAGTCATATAATAAGTGAAAAGCTTCAGTGTTCGTTTTAACAACGAATTTAAATATTTATTAGTGCCTTTTTCTTTAACAACAATTCAATTCAATAGATAAGATAAATAAGTATATAATATCGTTTAAACTTGAGTCGTTTTAGCAATACAATTTTAAATATCCATCTGAACTCCCACGTGCCCCACGTGCCGTTAGTGTAAAGAGGTCACTGTCCAGCTCTATTATATTTAAATAGTTGAAGGAATATATAATAGTAACATATAGTTTGTTTGATTTAGAATACAGCCATAATCCGAACTATGGAGAAGATGTTTAAAGTTGGCCGTTTGGCTTCTATCGCTCCAGTATATTACATTAATAAAATGTTTGGAACCTTACCATGCGGTTACTCATATTACCATACAAAGAACATCATAAAGAATTCTAAAGATTTTCATGGGAGATTTCATAATAACAGTAAGAATACATTTAAAAAAATAATAAATATTTAAAAGCATTTCCCTCATATTGTAAATGTAATTTTCAATATTTTTGATTTGTAAATCCAATTATGTGGCTTATAAGAAAAGTATATAAATAGCGTATACGAGTTTTAAATCTAGACTATAACACAATGTAACGTGTTTTCTTATTATACGACAAGGATTCTCCCTTGTTAAAATAAAAAAACTCCTTTACTATAATATTGTGTTGCCTAATAGTGCAGAAAGCACAAATCATGTAAAAATATTACCTTTAACACGTCGGCTACCAAGCCATTTTTCATAATACTCTTTTGGTGTACAGAACAATAGACCAGGTGAGAGAACCCGAGTACCTCCGTGGTAGTCAACTTGTTAAGTATGGTCGCTTGACATTTGCGAATGTGTTAGACGTAACAACGTTTTTTTTTCAATTTTACAGTTCGCGATGTACGTTTTCACGTGAGCAAAACTGCAATCATACTTTGGACATTGCAGATGGCAATACAAGTGTGGATGTTTATCGGGATGTCGAAAATCATTATGAAGTCGTTGGCCAATAAGAAAACAAACGGTTGTTCGGAGAACAAGGACTGTAGTGCGTTAGGTGTGCTCATCTCGCATGTAACAATATCGCCAGTAATATTAGTTTTGGTCGCGTTCCGGTTGAAAAAAACAACCCGTTGCATGAACATGATCGTAGTCCTGTTGCTTCGGTGTCGGTACTCGCGCAGGTTGCCCGTCGCCTCGTTTGCCGTACTGGTGTTAATGATCTCTATGATACTCAAAATCGGAGTTTCCCTAAACTATTCCAAACAAATATTCCCAATAGTTTTTTATGCTTTTTACGCATCGTTTACGTGCCCCCTATTAATCGTGCACCTGGTTAGCATTATGTGTTTGGTATCACAGAACTCCTACGAAGACATTAACAGGTAATATGGTTCATAGTTTCTATACATTGTATAATATAGCAAAAATGTATAGATAATATCAATTTAGCAGAAAATTAAAATGTTTTCATCGTGTAATCAGCGCGGACCAAGATAGACAGGACTGTGCACCGTTATCCAAATAGAATCTAATTGTTACAGGGATGTCGCACTTTTACTAGTAATGGTTCTCAACGCCATTCATTAATCACTTTCTAACGCAAAACCTAATGCACTTATATACAAAGCAGTTGTAAAAAAATTTTTAAAACGTGACGCAAAATCATTTTACTCCGAGCGTTTTTGGTTTCTGCGGAGGTTCGTTTTCTTTTGATACGGAGTATAGTGTACCGTTGACAAGTAATCCTATAGAGAGGGCTAGGAAAGTTTAAACTATTAGAGCCCCCCAAACTCTCACAAAATTTAGTTACTATAAAATATTTATAAAATTTTAAAATTTTTTCTGAAAACATTTAATTTTTCTGCTGGTCTGTAGTTTACATTGTTTTAATTGTTAATTGGACGATTTGTTAATTCTAATTAGTTAAATCTATTTTTTCACCGATATTAAAATAAATGGCATATAGCGAAATATTTTTCATATTGTTAATAATTATACAGAATATGACTAAAACAGTATACCCGAATATTCCGTAGACTCAGCCTGAGATAATATAATGCGATATACACTGGGAATATTTTGCACATTATAATGTATATTAAGTACATAGTACATTAATTATACTTTTGAATAATTTTTTTAAACGTTTGTGAGAGTTATTTAAAATTTTTCCCATTTCTCTGGCCCACCCTGTATAAAAAAAATAACATAAAAAAGCCAGTACAGTGCGGTTGGGGAATAGTGGAGACGGGGTACTAGAATTATTATATTTGAAAGTGATAAAATCACTTTCAATGAAACACATTGATGCTAATTGTAAATACTGCACCTCACTTTAACACTTTCTTACTGTGCTGGTTTGGACTGTACTGGTTTGACCATACTAACCACTGATTCGTATGGAAGGGTTTATTTCAAAGTGAATTTATCACAGTTGTAATAATTCCAGTAAACCGTTGACCTTTCCGTCCCCACTATCCTCCGACCCCACTATTCTAGCTTTTTTTACATTTTTTCATACAATATTCAAGTAAACAAAAAGTAATTGTTGGCGATAACCTAACCTTAATTTAAATTATATAATATCCTGTAGCAAACATATATATATATATTAACAACATATATACATAACATACAAACATATATATATTATTCTACAGAGAAATGGGAATACTATGCAGTTTGATATTAAAATCTGAACGGGCGTTGCGTTTGACATCGTTGATGAACGATCATTGGTTTCTTGAAGACTTTATTGAACATATATCCAACACATTCGGAGCTGAGTTATTATTTATCATGATGGACATTTATATTCAGTTATTGTTGTGTTTCTTTATACTTATATGGGAAAATATTGTTCATAAAGTAAATGTGGACAGTTTCATGTATGCTAATGTAGGCATACACATATGCATTATGGCGGGGAATTTGATTTACTTGTGTCATAGATGCAATGCTACTGTCAAAGAGGTAACTATTAAACCGAAATAAACATTTGAAAATGTATGCTATAAAAATAATTGTTGAATGTTCAGGTTTGTGTGGATGTAGATAAAATAAGTATTAACACTGTTGGTATAGTAATAATGATAAAGTAGTATTTTACTAAGACTAATACAATAAAGTAATAATTAAACATTTATAGTAATATAGCACGTAAATAGAGCGATTAATTTTTTGAAGTATAAAATAATTATGAAGAAGAGGTTAAAAGATAAAACAATGTGGTAAGATATAAATGTAGCTAGACGGTACGCGTCTTGGATCTTAATCGACCTTATTTTGTATAATACTTGAATTAGTTAATGAAATAATTTATTAATTGTTTTTATTAAATTTAGAGTCGAAGGATAATTTTTGAAATGCACCGCTTAAGATGTGTATTGTACGACGATCCAATTGGTCAAGCTATTGTGCGTAACTATTTTGTATAATGTTGTTAAATATTAAATTATGTTATGAAACAATAATAATATATGCAACTACCTATGTAATAATGGAGATTGAAAATAATTTTTTAGTATAAGTTCAAGATTCATAAGTATTACATATATAATTATAAATAGTTATCACGTTTTCAACTACATAGCAAAGTGTAAACTAGCAAAGTAAAAAATGTGCTAGGTTATAAGGGATAAGCAGCAGGTTGTGAAAATCGGTCTTTAAATTTGAATACAATTAAATTTGATTTGAATTCGTGTTACGTTTACCACACTAAGTTAATCATAGATTCGCATCAAATCGTTTTCTTAATGGGTACTAACTACTTGCTTTTTTCACACAAAAATGTGGTGCATATTTGTGTTTATTCAGTTAGTTATTTATAAATATAAACTTATGTTTTGTAATATTTTATGCTTTCTAAATACTGTGTAATCATCAAAACATAAATAATAGTGTTTTAATTATTTTTTTACTGGAATTTTAAATTTTTTGACAGCTAAAAAAGCTAAATGGCTCTATTGGAAAATGACATTTTTTAAGCGGGGGTGCGTTATTGTATTTCAAAGTTCCGATTTTTTAGCAAATCATTTGAATATAAAGTATTTTAAGAATTTTTGAATTTAAGTTTTTTGTTTTTGCAGCTAAAAGTGTTCACACTTCGAGTCAATAGCCGGGAAGTTCATATTGCAGTATTGAAGTTATTCAATATAAATCTACCTCTACTATGTGGTGTAGGTATTTTAAACAATGCTACCATACACAATGTAATGTTTATATAATTTTTTATGTTTTGCAGTCGGCAAGCCTTATGTTCACGTATTTTTTAGTGCTTGTTCAATTTCAAATAGATGGTTACAAACACTCATCAAGAGAACTGAATATAACTAAAATGGATAAATGTGAAAAATGGCCATGTATTAGCAAAGGTCAATAATTTATTATTTTTGAAGATTGCTTTATTGAGATTTATCAATTTAATAAATATATACTGTTAGCTTAGGACTATTATCTTTAAATGTATTTAATCGATTATATTATTTTATAAATAATAAAATTAATTTATCAAATATTGATTACTTATTTCTTGTAAATGTTGAAAACCTTATACTACGTTCTTGTATTTTATTGTTATACATAAATTACTTTTTTTTTTTTTAATAAGAAGTATTTACTTTCGTAAAATTATTTTTTGAATTTATATAATGATTCGTTTTTAAATTGTAACGAAGTGTATCATAATTCACATATTTGATTCTTTCGCAATTGAACAAGAATACAAAAAACAATAAAATAGAAAATAACAAACAAATTTGCGCTTAGTACGTTGCAATGTAATGACAATGAATTACGATTATTTTATTTTAAGCGAAACGTGGTTAAACAGTGATATATCTGATAGTGAACTCAATTTTGATAACTACAATGTCTACAATGGTCTAACAAGTTCTCGCTCTAGAGGTGGTGGTGTTGCTATTTGCATTAAAAATAACTTTTGCTCGGCTCGTATTCTCTTACCGTCCACTAGCGTTGAACAGCGGTTTGTTTGTATACCATTTGATACCTCTACCGTTTTGATACTAGGCGCGTGTTACATATCTACGTCGAGTCCAACTGAAATGTACTTAAACCATGTTGAAACTATAGATTGGGTTCATTCGTGTGATGGTACTTCTGCACGTTTTATCATTGCAGGTGACTATAATTTACCGCACACGAAATTTCATAATGATATAACAACGGTATTGTTTATGTTGGTGCTCGAACGTGTCCAGCAGATGTGCTGTTCGAATACTTCACATTTGCCGGTTTCTCTTAACCGAACAGTGGACTTCTTTAAAGTCCAGGCGGGCATATTTTGATGTTCTGTTCCTCTTTAAAATGGTAAATTGTATGGTGGAATGCCCGGAGTTGCTGTCTAATATTGGTTTATGGGCCTCCCAGGTTAGAACTAGGCAGACGATTTTTTTAACGATAATGATGTTAAGCCAAAACATATTATGTTTCAATAATGTCATCTGTTTTTGTTTGTTTTGTTCAAATTTTTATAATGTACACTCTCTGCCCTTATGGGCGTATAAAACACAAAAAAAAATTAAAAAAATGTTTAAATTTTAATGAAGATGCGTTAATATAAAATATCACCATTTCATTTATACAGATTTATTGCGTATTTCAGAATTTTTTTCAGAAGAAAGTTTACAATATCGCTTTGATGTTATGAGCCAAGATTTTTTAGAATAAGTGAGCATTTAGTGAGTTGCACTCTAAGTTTCTTTTACACGGGACTATCTACTTTTTAAATCATCATACATTGTATGACACCGAATATCTATTTTTCTTGGGCTGGAAAAATGTCACTACAGTCTACAATCGTTCTCCTTGTCCTCGTGCATCTTGCCAATCCACCACCACCTGACTTCTTACGGCCTTGTTTCAATCCATCCATCGCTTCATTGGCCCGCTCGGTTTTCCTCTATAATATGATCTCCACTACATTGCTGCTCTTAATTCCGCTGTTTACGGTTTCCTTCTTTTAAATAAAATAATTTTATTTTTTAAAAATATGTATTTATTGTGACTAAAACTGAGACGACATTTGCTGAGCTCGTGGCGTGCGAGCAGCTATTATTGAAAGTGAGCGATTTTATCTGTAATTTACAGATGTTTTTATAAACTGTATTATAATAGAAAAAAAAATTTAATGTAATTATTGAGGGGCGAATAGATGTTTTTTTTGCTATAGAGAAATATTAAAAAAAAAACAAAAGAATGAAAAACAAATTTGCTTGCTTCGTCGCATACTTTTTGCCTTACTACTGTACACTATTAATACAGCGATTTAACTTAATAATAGACGATTTTTATAGGAAACTTTAATAATATCAAAAATACAAAATCATCTTGTTCAACATTTTTTTTTTATTTTAAAACAATAACAGTATTATAAGTCACGATATTAATTATTTCATCTAAATCTACAAACGTTTAACCATCTCTCAATACTCATAATTATTAAAACTGTCTAATAAGTCTTGTGACAAGGTACTTGATATGGTTATACATATTTTAATTAACCCCGCTCAAAGCTTAATTGTGTTATAATAAATCAATAATTATACTTCACCAAGAAATTTAAGAAATTACGATTTTTGACTTGTGTCATTTTCGCAACATATGTGCAATATGCTTGCAGTCAGCACCTTATTGGAAATATTCTATAGAAAATTTGTTTAACAGTAAATATTATTGTGGGTTTAATAAATGTTTTATTAATTTGTTTATATTTTCGAAGGGTTTGTCAACAGGTCGTGTTTATATGAGTATCAATAAAGAAAAATATTATTTTTGTCTGGTCAAAGTGTAATTTCTGATTATTCATTGACACGTCTTGACCTCTGACTGAGAAACAAAATAAAAATGGATGATTGATGGGATAACAATAAAACCATGTATTACAATGAAGATTTATTATTTTATTTTGTTTTATACTTTTAAGTTTTAAGTATTAGAACGGAGTTAACGTTAACAAGTTGTTCGTAGAATACAGTCATTGACCAAACCATGAATAGGCGGTGGAAAATTAGTCGTTTGGCTGTTATTGCTCCAGTTTATTACCTATGTAAAATATTTGGTGTTTTACCACTCCGTTACTCATACTGTAAAATCGAGAACAACAGAAGACCGAAAGATTTTCGTGGGAGATTTCATAATAACTGTAAGATGAAATGTGTTTGTTACCATAACCTAGAGAAAGAAAATCTGTGTGGGTCAGGAAATATTAAGAACTCATTTTTATAGGCAGACTAACTATAATCTAAAATTGATAAAATTTGATACAAGTATACTTGATAAATTCGATAACCCGTGGATTAACGATATGTTATTTGAATGTTTAATGCGATTCATAATTAGCTTTTAAAAGTACTATTTACTGTAGTGTCACTAAATTTTATCATGCAAGAAATAAAAATTAAAATGTTGTTTTTATTTTCTCACATTTAATTTATAGAATCATTACATATTATAATAGCTTCAATCGAAACTAATTAATCAGTATAATGGTAAGGAATTTGAATCATGGCTTTTTTTTCTACACTGACTATACTTATGCCCCTTCTCCACAACCCAAATATTGGTTTTCTCAAATTGTTCGACTGCTATTTATAACGGAAAATTCGTCTGATTTTCCAGATCAAGACGTACGGTTTCACGTGAGCAAAAGTGGAATTATGTTCTGGAGTGTGCAATTCGCCTTTCAAATTTGGACGTTCTTTGGGTTTTCAAAATTGATCATTAATTCAATATCCAGCAGAAAAATGTTGAATTGTTCGATAGGAAACACCTGCAGTATGTTAGGCTTAATGATCTCGCATATGCTTAAAAGTCCGATTATCGCAATTTTGGTTCTGTTTCGTCTGAAAAAAACTGTTTGTTGCTTGAACATGACAGCAACTCTACTACTTCGACAACGCCATCCTCGCAGATTGCCCATCGCCACGTTTGCCGTACTGCTATACATGATCTCTCATTTATACAAAATAGCAACATCAGTAGTTATTGATAATTTAAATTTTCCATTAGTTTATATTCCATTTGTATTTGTTTACATATGCCCGATGTTACTCATTCACCAAATATGCGTCTTGTGTTTAGTATTAAAGAACAGTTACGAAGACATCAACAGGTAATAATTTAGCTCTATTTTGTAACAAATTTACCATTAGAATTGTTTATTTATTATTCATTATTTTGATTGTGTGTTATTAAATCGCTTAAGTAATGTATCGCGGGTAATATACATTGGTTATAATAGTTACTAAAACAAAAGTTAACTAGTAAAAATTATATATATAAAAAAAACATCATAATAAAACCAATACCTTCTCTGCTATGCATCGAAGCTAAAAAAGTAAATGATATCAGCTCCCACTGTTAGGCTAGTTTATATTAGTTAATAGTAGTTTAATACTACTATTTAATCGATTTTATATGCTTATAAGTATTATTAACGCTTAAGTATTATATGATTATCTAAAGAGAACTGGGAGAATTGTGCAGTGTGCCACTGAAGTCTGAACGAGCGTTACGATTGACATCATTGATGGACGACCATTGGTATCTTGAAAATTATATGGAGCACATGTCCAATACCTTTGGCCCCGAGTTACTATTTATAATATTGGACATATACATTCAATTAGTGTTGGCCATGTATGTATTTATATGGACCAATATTGTTCACAATCAGCATGCGACTTTCTACACATACTTTTACGCAACCTTGCAGATAGGAATAATAGTGGGAAATTTGATTTACTTATGTTATCGAAGCAGTTCTACTATGAAAGAGGTAATTATCGTTCAATTTATTTACTTAAATTAAAACTATATACCTACATTTTAGTAGTTACTTTAGGTAAATATATAGGCTTTTGTCCATTTTTTAAAGTTAGAGTGACAGTCCTCCATCAAACCCTCTTAATTTTAAGAGAGGTTTTACCTTAACAAATACCTAACCATAAAAAAAGGCCAAGTTCTAGACCCCCTCACAAAATGCATGAGTTTATCAAAGAAGTGATACCTACATTGTGTCAAAGTCTGCTCTTTCTTTAGAGTTAAGTCCATAACCTCACTTCACTCCTACTTTTATGAGCAACACTGCTCTTTTATTTTTTTTGCTTAACACTTGGTTATATTCTGAATGAGGCATAAAACAAACTTGGTCACAATGTATAGATATCACTACATTGATAAGCTGACTTTTTTGGGAGGTGGCCTGAACTCTGGCCAGGTTTTTGTTGAGGATTTAATTCCTTTTTGCTGGTTATCAGCATGGTGGGCGTCTTTTTGGTTTTTTGCGAGGCACTGGAGGGATTATGTATGTAGTTCGGATGAATGTTCATGCGCGCCACTTCACGAATTTAGAACTACCCTCCCTAAAGCGGAACTAATTTTGAGAAAATTGTAATTTTCAGATATGTTTTCTTTACTTTTGCAATAAGATTTACTTTTGTACTAAATTTTACGTTTATACCTATACTGGAAAAGCTTTAAAAGTTTGATAATGAGTGTGTCAGTCAATAAGTAAAAAAAATGTTATCATTGAAGTTCTCCCATTTTTAAAAAGGCTTGATGATAAGGGCGCATATTTTGCAGTGTCATAAGCTACTTAAGCTTAATCTATGTTTAAAATTTTAAATGCTGATCTAAGAGGAAGCAGAGATATGAGGGTGAGAAAAACCGGGTGAATTGGTCCATATAAAGGTACAATGACATTGATAGAACTTGGCCTGGCTTACTTACGTGCGTTCAGATCATCGTATTATAGTAGTTTATATAAGATAAAAAGCACTTATGAGATTAATCATATATTTAGTGTGGGTTCAAATCGATATAATTATTAATATGTTTCTGAAGTTTATGAAATTAATAGAAAAATGTATTTATTAATCTAGAGCGGACGCGTAATTTCTCAACTACAGTATTTGAGAGATAAATTATACGATGATCCCAAGTGTCAAGCTATTGTAAGTATATCTGTTATGTAGAATTTTTAATTTTGCGTGCCAATAAATAAAATATATAACATTTATTTTCTTAACCTAATATTGTTTTGATGTTATCTATCAATAAATTAAAAACCCGCTTAGTGGGGTCATAACTTGTTGTTTTTAATGTGTTAAAAGCTGAAAATATTCACACTGCGAGTCAATTGCCGGCAAGTTAATTTTGCTGTTTTGAAGCTATTTAATATAAACCTTTCATTATGTATTGTTGTAGGTATTGAATTTATTTTTTAATTAATACATGTGTATAATATTTTTAATTACTTATTTTCCCCAGTCAGCAGGCTACGTGCTAACATACTTTTTGGTGCTTATTCAATTTCAAATGGAAGGTTATAAACGTACACTCAGAGAAATGAATATTAGTGCTATCATTCTAAAAAATTGTAAAGTATGGCCATGTATTACCGATGATGATTAGTTGTAAAATTAAGAAAACTTTTAATTCCATATCTTTATTGAAATACGTAATGTCTATATTGTTATATATGTTATGTATATGTATATGTTATTTGTCAATAAAGAAAAAATGTGTTTAATTATTAAAAATATGTATAGTTATAAAACTTCTTATATACATAGTAATATATATTTTCCTTAAAAAATATATTGTTTTTTTTTTAGTCATGCTAAAAATACATTTTTAGTTAAAATCTGTTAACTAAAAATGATATTGTTTAAAAAAGTGTAAAATATATTCATTAATTATAATAATAAGTTAAAATGAAAACATTGGTTCACTGTCAGGTGACTGTGTAGGTACAAGATATCAGTATGGATGGGTCTTTAGAAAGTGATTGACATAGCATTATAAAAAACAATGTGACAACAAAACATTTTTGTTCAAACTACGACTAGTATAAATAATGTTTGATCTAACATCATGATTATTTAATGATTTTGGGGAATAATATGAATAGTAAGTTATTATTATTTAAATGACTTATTCTGTTAGTGACTATCGGTGAGCTGACGACATGCGTTTGAAGTGGGGTCCGTTAGCTATTATAGCTCCAATATATTACGTAAGCAAATTAGTCGGTACCTTGCCAATCGGTTATAAAAATGACTGTGAAAATAAGCTTACCAAAAAATCGGATAATTTTCGCGGAAAGACACATGGAAAATGTAAGTTTTTTACAACACGACAAACTCATGATTGGCCCATCACAACATTTTTGGAAATCAATTGGAACAACCATGTGTATAGATTTTAGAATGTATTTAATATACTGGCTGTCTCGCGCTTTTACAACAGTGTTTAATTCGTTTTCAGCCCATGGCATAATTTTCAACATAAGCACAAGTGGTGTTCTTATATGGGTCGCGCTGTTTTGTCTCCAGATATGGTCATTTTTTCGAATGGCGTTCTACCTGACGGAAGCCTTGATGCAGAGAGAGCAACTCGATTGTTCGATGGACAACTTTTGCAGTGTATTCGCGTTGCTATTGTCACATACGTTGATAAGCCCGCTAATAGTCTTCGTGACGTTGTTTCGACTGCGGAAGACCGTCAACTGTTTTAATATGACCTCCGTGATTTTACTACGGCGCCGTTATCCACGCAGCCTGTCCTTTAATGCTTTTGTGGTATTCGCTTTCTTGGCAACATTTTTCGTCAGGTTCTTTCTAGTCCTACTGAGTTTTTCCAAGGTCAACATAGATCTCTTCCCATACACCATAGGTCAATTGTTACCGTTAATTCTGGTCAATCTCATCAGCGTACTGTGTTTGGTTACTCAACACGCGTACGAGGATATAAACAGGTAAATGTGGCTCGAAAATATCTGTATATATATATATATATATATCTGGTCCCGGGTAGAAAGGGCTAAGTCAATTTTTCACAAACAATTTTTTCCCGTAGATTTAAAGCTTGATTTTTGCTGATTTTTTTGGTTCAATTGGCATAAGTCAGTGACGAATATCACTCATATTATTGAAGAATATTCGTGGTGTAATACTATAATGTGTAGGAATTTTTAAACTTTCAAACGGCTGTCTTGAAAAGTTGATTAAATTGACTTAAGCCCTTTCTACCAGAGACCAAAGATATTGAATTTTCAGGAGTCTTTTTTTGTTAATAAACATCATAATTAAAAAACTAATCATTTATAGTAAGTACATAGATGTCTATGTACTTACATGCTAAGTCACCGACAATTTCATTTAAAATAGAAAAAAATTTATGGGTATTTAAAGCATTTGTTCATTACATCATATGGTTAGTATTGGATTAAGGAATTTAAAGTAGGCTTAAATTTGTTTTATTCAATCGAATGGATTGATTTGATAATGGATCACTAGTCATACATTTATAAATATAACAACATACTTTGATTATTTCAGGGAATTGGAGGAACTGTGCTACGTTCAATCGAAATCCGAACGAGTATTGCGGCTATCAGCGTTAATGGACGATCATTGGTTTTTAGAAGATTATGTAGAAAATTTGTCTAATACGTTTGGACCGGATTTGATGCTTGTCATGATGGATACTTACTTACAAATGTTGCTGTTTCTATATATATTGATTTGGGAGACGGTAATTCGTGGAGTGCACACAATAACCGTCACGTTTGCTTCCACTGCCGGACAGCTGTTATTTAACATAGCCAAATTTTTGTACTTGTGCTACAGATGTGATTCACCGATGAAAGCGGTAGATAACAACTATCTTTGTACATTATTTATGCATAAAAAAAAATACATGTTGCCCAATAAAAAAATGAATACAATATTGAGTTGCAAATATTTTCATTTGATTAGAATATTGTTTTTACTATTAAGACGATTACAAATTAAATTTATCATTTAACGTGGATATGTTTTTGGACTGGGGGTCATTCTGAAATACGTATGTTACGATTTGTGTATAGGACATACAGATGAAATCGATATAAAGACCGTTATTTACAAAAGCGAAAAAATCAGCTAATTTATCTGATAAGATAAGAGAGATAAGAGATAAGAGAATAGAATTATGTTAAAATAAATTTGGAACTGGGAATGGGAATGGGGAAAATAATAGAAATCGTTATGGTTATTCGGACCCGTGATACTAAAACTTTTCCATGATTCAATGTTTTTCCGTGGTGCGGAGAAAATAACTAGGTTTTTTTTTTTTGGTACTTTAGACTTTTTTTTGAGTTTTTAGTCTTTTCTAATTTGTACAATCTCGGTATCTGATTCATTGCAGATTATATTGATATTGTTTATAAATACTATAACCAGTAATAGTTTTAACAGTAATTTTGTTTTTAGAGCAAACGAACCATTTTTCATTTGCAACACCTGAGTTTTGCACTGCATAACGAGCCTGCTAGTCAAGCGATTGTAAGTATAACGACTAATACAAACAAGAAATTAGGTTTATTTACAAAATAAAAAAACAATTTATAAATACAACACTTACAGCTCAAGATGTTTACACTTCGCGTTAACAGCCGCGAGGAGAAAGTGACTGCTTCAGGTTTTATCGACATAAATATGTCTCTTGTTTGTAAAGTAAGTAAAAAATAAAAGTTTTAAAATTAATCAATAAACCATGTTAGCGTAATGAATATTGCACAAATGTCTTTACTATAACAATGGTGATAATGTTTTAGTATAACTGTATTTCACTTAGTATACAGTTTTAAATTAAATTGTATCACAAGATTTTTAAAGTTTCAAAGAATTTATATTTATATTTGCTTTTATCGTTAAAACCGTTATTAAGTTTAAAGAAATATACATATATATTTTTTTAAATTGGGGTATAAAACATATTTTGTTCTCATGGTAAATTTTATTTGGATCGGTGTTAAATATGGCACAATACTTATAAAAAAAATGTTAAATGTTATACCTTTTAATAACATAACAGTTTTACAAATATGTCAGTAGGTGCTCCAACATTTCAATTGATAACCGTTATTTTATGTATATTTCTCCGCACCACATGTGTTCTGGTACAGCCTACCTAAATTTGTAAAATGTTTACAGACAGCAGGAGTTGTGCTGACGTACTTTTTGGTGCTCATACAAATTCAATCAGAGAACTACAAATTTCTGATCAAAAGCAATGTTAACTCATCGGCTGTTCCTGCGTCTTGGTTACCGACCACGTGCGAATCATGGCCTTGTCTTGGGCAAATAAAAAATTGAGCAAAATATATTATTATAATAGTTTCATTTTAAGATTTATGAATTTTTTATATGGTGACATGTTATGATAAATAGCTAAATGATTGGCCGTATTAAAAATTCAGTTAATCCCCAATTTAACATTCACTTACATGATAATCGAATTTTATTTTTGTAGTTTTAATAAACAACTTTATCAATTGTCATACATAATGTTTACAAAATAGTAGTAAGGCTTATGTAATTTACTATTCGCTTAAACTAAAAAGTTAACGCGTTGAACAAAATATTCTAGAAATTACAATGACAACTGTTTAAATACATATTTGCAAATGTTATGAAATTTTATTTACACATATTTTATGTATACATTCTCGTAGGTATTTGTACATAATATAGATGTATATAATATTTACAGAAGTATGCAGGTGTTTATTTTGCAATACATTTTTAGATTAATAGCAAAGTCTTCCTTTAAACTTTTTGTCTTCTGTAACTAAACAGTGTAGTCTCTGAAGCTGGACTATAAATATAATTCGCAATGTTAGCATACCTCTTACTGAACACCAACGTACATTCTTTAAACCTAGAAAATTGTTCTAAAAACCGTGAATATGCTATAAATTACAAGAACTCACGACAATATTGTATTTAGCAATAAAATGATTTCTTTTAACAATTAAATGTCTTGCTTTAACTAATAAATGTGTCCAAATAAAAATAAAAAAATCTCGTTTTGCTTATAGACAAAATTAGTATAGTATGACCAGTTATGTGTGACCAGATACATTTCAACTTTTGCGGGTCTCAGCAGTTCTTTTTATGTCGGCCTAACGTTTTTTTATCGATTCTCCGGTTAACCAATACCTGTATGAAAATCAAAATACCTAAACTTTAAACGTAAATTCTATTGTAATTGCTGAGAAACCGCTTTAACGACTTAAGAACTCGTTTTAGAATTGTACTTGTGTGTATTACTCACAATTTAATAGTTGTCATAGTTGGTATAAATTATGTTATTAGTGACTATTTATTTTTAAGTTGTTGCTGGCTCTATTAACCCGAAAACAAATAAAAGATTTAACAAACAAACTATTTATTTTATTCTGTGTATTAAGTATCAGAATTTTCATGTAAAATAATAATTTTGAATGGTTTAGTAAATTTGCTTATTACCTTCTTTTTATACCTTCTTGTTACATGTAATTTGTTACCCATAATTCATTTGAAATCTTTAGTGAAGAACTCGATTTTGTAAGTATTTATTGAGTTGGTAATAATCTAGATTCATTTTTTTTTTATTATACTATGTTAGAGGTTTTTACATGAATTTATTGTACTAAATATTTATAAATTATAAATGGTTAATTGCGTATGCAGGACTATGTTTAATTTTTTTTTTTTGATTACATAGTAAATAGATATCTAGTAGCCTCCTCATCTTGTGTATAAATATTGGAAGCCAAAGATTTATATTTTGTATATTAGGACTTAAAAGATATAGAAGCTAATTAAATACTTCATATAAGGCGTTTAACATTTATTAATCACGACCAATTTCAAATTTTTAAAAATGCAGTTATGATTCTTGTGCTATTATAAAGTAGCTGTTGAAAAAAGTTGTTATTTTTAATATTATTGACTTATAATAAAAATATCCGTTTTCATTGAAATCAGATTGTTCTTTTAAAACAACCAGTACATAATATAAATAAATGTTTTATTCAAGCATATTAAATCATCTGTCGTTGCTATAGTAATTTATTTTCACACTATTGATTATTGTAGTTTTATTTTCAACAACAACATACTTAAAATCATTTTGTTGTGTCATTACAGTGTATTTATTTTTTATTTATTCTCATTTTATAGTACGCGTAAATTCAAAATTTAATAATATTTGTTTTGTTGTAAATTCCTCAGTGGACATCCGAAGTACATTTAATCGAGCGGTCTTACTCGTCTTCAGGTAACTTCTTGTAAGATGTAGTAGTATTAGTACCTTTATTGAGTAAATGCTAAATTTATATGATATATTTTTATTGTATTTATTTATTAAGTATAAAGCCACATACTCCGTTAACGAAAATGTCATCACCTAGTATGTCTTTTCAATGGCCCGACGAGAATAGCATTAGTAGGGCTACCGTATACGTGTTGCAAAGACACGAGTAAGCTACCGACTAAATAAATAAAAAACGGGTTTAAAAAACAATCATTCTCTATGTAAAATTAGTTTTCACCGATGTGAAGCCTCGGACGACGTAGAAAACTACTTAAACTCAGACCAAGACAGGTCATCGAGTAGAAAGAGACCAATCGACAATGACGATGAAAAAGAAGAAGATCGTTCACAGAGAAAAAAATACAAGTAATTAACCGACCATACGTGTATCAACTAGAAAAAAATTCTTACAATCGTGTCATACCTTCATATTATTATATTATATACTTACAAGGTGATAGTTTGAAAGCAGCTGATTTTCAGAGCGGCTATTGATTATCTTTTATGTTTATGGCGGGCCATTCTTGAAATTATATCTCAATAGTATTTTGTGCATCGACAATTCGAATTTAAATGGATCCCTTTTATTGAATTATTTATATTTTAGTCATTAAACATTATTTTTGTAATAGAAATATTATGGTCAAACTGTTGATTTTTACTGAGCTGTTAACAAATTAAAGTACTATAAGGAGAAATTATAAGCCTTATTCAAAGGCATTTTTACTATCTAATAAGATAACCTAACAAGTAACAACATAATATACAGCGCACACGCATAGCTAACAAAATTAAAATATCAATTACTTTAAACGACTTAAAGTTTATTACAAATATCAAAGTGTTATTTATATCTGATAACGCACTACGAAAAACAGTTATTTATTTTCCCTCCGGTCGGGTAAATACTGTTTAAATAGTTTCAATAATTTTTTTAGAAGATCCGATTATGACGTTGACGATTCGTTCGAGTATAAATTTTTCCCTCGCCCTTACAACGTAAACGATGACAGCGGTGATTCCTCAGACGAGGAACTAGAAAGTCTGCCTCACAACGACGAGGTCATCGTGATAAGCGACGACGAGGAGGACGCCATAGTGATAAGCGACGACGAGGAGGACGCCATCGTGATAAGCGACGACGAGGAGGACGCCATCGTGATAAGCGACGACGAGGAGGACGCCATCGTGATAAGCGACGACGAGGAGGACGCCATCGTGATAAGCGACGACGAGGAGGACGCCATAGTGATAAGCGACGACGAGGAGGACGCCATCGTGATAAGCGACGACGAGGAGGACGCCATCGTGATAAGCGACGACGAGGAGGACGCCATAGTGATAAGCGACGACGAGGAGGACGTCATCGTGATAAGCGACGACGAGGAGGACGTCATCGTGATAAGCGACGACGAGGAGGACCAGAGCGATACTGATAGAGTTTCGTCACTAAAAGCTGTAACTGATATTTTCCCGTTCAGCACCAGGTATGCTAAACTTTTACAGCGTTTATTCAAAATAAAGATATGACCAAAGGCGCAGATGGATAGGCACTATTTAAAAAAAAAAAATGTTTTAAGAAATTGAAACTTTTTAGAAAACTGCCAAAACGATTTTTGCTTAAGACCTGAAAAAAGAAACATGTGTAAATTACTTGTCTCTGAGTACACCTTCTCCGTGTAAACAGAGCATAATATGCTCGTGTACAGGAAATGGGAAAGGGCGGTTTTCAGCTTATCTACTGCGCCACACACGTTGACAACATTTTAAAAGTTGTACATAATTTAATTGAAATTCTTTTTTACAAATATGGTCTTGTAGCTCGTCAAATGCATATCATCCACTGAATAACGCAGAGAATGATTCTCAACGTTTGTACTTTGATAATAATTACATTCAGTATACAACTGAATTCAACGAAAACTTTGCCAACCAGTTTGTAAACTAAACTATCACAATTGAATTTTGTTGTCATGTCGATTTTCATTACAATTATGAATTATTGTTGTTGGTTTGTCATATATTTGTATATATCTTTGTATTTTTCTATATATTTCTGTATTTTATGTGTTTTGTATTTTTGTTTATATCATTATATATGTTTTGTAATTATTATACTAACATGTGTGATTGATGTTGTTTTGTCGTTTTGATATTTTGTTATTTTGTATTTTATCACTTTGTATTTTTGTACTTCATTGTGTTCATTTTTGTAAAAATTGCTTTTTTATCATAACGTTGTATACTTGTGTAAATTGTAATCAATTAATTGAATTAATTGTGTTGATAATTGTGATAACTTAAAATATATATTTATAAAATGATTTCTTGCTTTTTTTTTTTATTTAATTAAGTGTTTTGTGTTCATACAAAACACGTTTTTGTAAAACAAAATTTTCAATAAAAAAGTTTAAAGTTTTATTATTAAACTCCCTTTAATAAACTACATTTATTGAAATCCGAAGATAATCCAAAAAAATAATTGTTATATTAATAGTAAGTACTCTTTAAAAATATTAGACATTTGTTTTATACAGTTGACGCATTTATAGTAAATCTTAAACAAAGCATATTATGATAATAAAAACTAAAAAGTTTTGCTGACTTAGAACTCTCGAACTTTTAACTATACCTAATAGTGGAATATAAACGCTTGATAAATGAAACGTCAGCCATATTTTTCACTATTTTCTTATACATAACACAAACAAATTTACAGTGTAATAAAAACCGAAAAAACTAGAATAGTCGACAAGCGCACTAATATCTAGTCGGAATAAATATTACTTTGTCATACCAATTCAAGTACATCAAGTACTTTAAGCACATTTACTTGTGTTTTCGCTTTCCATAAGCCGTCAATGAGTTAACAGGTCATTAGATAGTCCGCGTACTTTTTTAGCATCCCGTTCGTTAAATATTGTGTTTTTAATCAAAGTCGTGTTATGGTATGACAAATAGCCATATAAAAAATTCAGATAACACCCAATTTAATATTCTACATGATCAACCCATTGTATTTTAGTAGTTTTAATAAACAATTTTACTAAATATTATACTCGTACATAACGTTTACGAAATCATATTTTTAGTTTTTACTGATCATAAAGTGGTTATTTATTAGCAATTCTTTTTATGAAGT